GAATAATGATATATTCTTAGAAATATTTATAAAAAATGTTGATAAAGTATTACTTGTTTATGTTAACAGATATCAGATTCATAAACAAACTTAAAACTCTGCACAAATCTATCACTTGGTTCACGGAATTAAATGTTTAGATATGAATAACACTTTAAGAAATTACAAGAGTAATGCTAGATGCGTCGAATCATTTATCAACTACACGATTTTCTTTTAGTTTTTTGTTAAAGACATGTCTATAAACACCTTGTAAATGAATAATATGTATTTCCACCTAATTAACTTGAATTGTATTTCAAATTTAAGGATAAAATTTAAATAGATTTTGCAAGAAATTAAGTAAACACTAAACTTTACTTATCAATATTTTCATAAAATCAAAATTTTTAATTTTGCAATATTGTTTTTAGTTCTTAAAATGGCTTTCTGTTTCCTAAATAAAAGGATTTTACTACCTTGTAAACACCATAAATGTTTTTCAATGATTCCCGCATTGAATATATATTTTATTTTTTTATTGCTGCAAGATCACTTCTTGAAAACAAAAGATTTCGCAATATGTGTTCGATCAATGGAAAAATGATTAATGCAAGGCGACACTTGCTCTCAAGAAAAGTTCTCCGCTTACAAATGCAGTCAGCCAACCGGTTTTGGTACTATATGGAATTTCTATATACCTATTTGTGTATTTTACACATATGTTTATAACGGAAAGGCTGTGTGCGAGGCAGTTTAATTAATACGCAAATATTGTCACTTATGTAAACAGATTTACATGAAGGTCTGAAATGAAAACGTGAGTGCAAACGTCACACATGAGTGACCAAAATGGTGGGAAAGGGGATCATTGGGTAGGGGGTCATTAATGAAAGAATTAAGGCGGCGCCACTCGACCATGGAATGACGTCATTCTTTATTATTTATACGACTTGATGGCCGTAAACAATTGTGAGATAAACATATGTTAAACATCGATATGAGCCCCGATAATCGCGGATTGAGGAGATACGACCCAAATAATACGAAAGCTTTATAAAAGACTTGATTTATTGTTCCGCTTTGTTATCTGACAAAACTACTTAGAAATTAAAGAGAGTGTGAATGTGATGCATCTGCGGAAAAGCTATGCAGAATGACTAGCCAATTAATAAGAAAATGGATATTTTCTTTTGTTCAAAACAGACATATGGGAAATTCTTATTTATTCCACTGGTGTACAGCAAAAATTAATTTATATCTGGTTTTAAGTGCGCAGATTAATAAAAGCTAAAGTGGTTTCTTATTTTTAAATTAATTCTGAAAGTTTTCTAGTTGAACCAGATGCAATTAAATAGTTCTAGACATTTTAAATTGGTTCAAGGTTTGAAGTGGATTTCTGATCGATTTCAAAGGTATATGTAATCTCCTCAGATTAGTTCGGACTCAATATATATATAAAAAAATGTCTTTAGAAAATTATGGGAAAAGTCTTTCTTCTTACTCTTCTTTTATTAAATCTTAGCATCCTATTTCAATAAATGTCCAATATAAATAAAATCATTGACGAGTTAAAGATCTGTTTATAAATATTTCAAGTTGTTTATGTTAAAAAAAAATTCTTGAATCGATTGTCATTTTTCCTTTTGTATTGGCATAAATATATTAGCCAGAACTAGAAGAAAATAAAAGCTGTGTAATAATTTCAGCAATGTAAATAAAATAAGCCGAAATTGGGGCAGATATTTTGAGAGGTAATTGGGATCTGTTTGCGCACTAAGTGCAGAAATGTGTACTCAAGATAGGGGAAAAGATAAAGATACAGATCCCCCTGGCTGGCCACCAACCGGCCTCATTATGTTCGGGCTAATTGCACGACCTGAGTTCCGTAGGCTGTGAAAAACAATCAGAGAAATATCAGAGCTGAAAAGGGGATTTGCCTGCAGCTGGGACTGGCTGCAATTAGGGCGCCCTGTAATTTGCGTCACGGGCACGTGAGGAACTTTAAAATCAGCAGAAAAAACTTTAGCCAAGATATAAATAGCCTGAATCGGGGATGAAGGAAAATGCCATAGCCCAGCGTCGCCCTTGAAAATTGCAAAGTGGGCGTGTCGCCATGACAACAGGCATTCCAGCGACAACACAAACCGGTGCACGGAAAAAAAAGCAACTCGATATCAGATCGAAGTTAGCAGGCTTTTTAAATTTTATACATCTTTTTAATGTGATTAAAAAGGTAGAGCCTAGAAGCATTACCTCTGATAAGAAAAAAAGATAGGGTTTAATTCGCACCGCTACCGAATAAATGTTAAAACATATTTTTTCCTGTGTTGAGAGTGACTGGCATTTATAGGTGGAGTTGGAGAAGTTGTAAGTTCTCCTCGTCAAAGTCAAAGATATTGCTGGCGGGCAGCAACTTGCAACTTGCAACATGTTGCCAGACACATTTGATAACCTGTCGGCTACTGGGCAGCGTTTCATTAACGACCATCCATCCACTCTGGGAATTCCTGATGCGGATTCAGTCAGGGGTGGTGGAATGAAATTTTAAAAAACCAACTTATAATATTTATCTTCGCCAAATTCTAAGAATTTCATTTGTGGAATTCCATTTATGCCGGAAAACCATTTGTTAAAAAAACTGAGCAATGCCCTTAAGCTTAGAAATCGAACAAAAAAACAGAATATGACTCAAAATTATAGAGATATTACAAAAATGTGTCATTTTGTGCAATTTTAAATTCAAAATATAACAATTTAACAAAAAATGAAAGCAGATACTTTATAGGATCGGAAATGTGCTCTTCACTATATAAAAATTACAATATCCTCTGCAAGAGTATAAAAAAGAAATTGATAACCACAACATTTATTTTTTATCATATTAACAAAATTATAAAGTTGAATACTGGAGTCAGTCTTGAAGAAAGCGTGTTCCACATTCTTAATGTATTACACCTTTCATCGGGGATTTAGCTACTGCTCGCAGGTGATTAGCGGCCAAGTCAATATTAGCCAGCTGATTGCGTTTAAGCCGCAATGCTCGTGGTGTGGACATGTGGGACAGGTGAAACCAGGGCAATATCAATTAGCCAATAAACGCCAGAACGGGCTGAAAACTGACCTCGCGTCCTGGTAGTGACAAAGATGAATGGCTCTATTTGCTGGCCAACTGGAAATTAGCCACAATAAGTCGACTAGGCCAAAATGTCATCACGAAGGCGCTTGGAGGAGTGCCCTCAAAGTTTGCCAGCAAATTAAATTCCAGTTTATCGATGTCAAGCGAGGAGCCGGGACACTTGTTTTCTGAGGCTTGGGGGGATTACATTTTAACGACACGGCCACGGAAGTGGCCCATCAGCAGCCAGCCAGCTCGATTGCTCTAATTGTCGGCAAACAGTTTCTCACTCAGGGAAAAAATTTGAAATACTATAAATTTATTTTGTTTTGATGCGTCCTATTAAGTTAAATGATTGAATAAGTTAAATCATACAATGTAAAAGATATGTACCCTATAATTTTAATTGTCTAAAGTTTCTATTTGTTAAAAACTCGAAACAAAAATAAATAAAATAATAATAAAATAAATACAAAGTATGTGTCCAATTGCCTATTTCTTAAAAATTCCAAAATTTGTCTAAGAAAAATCCATAATTTATAAATCAAGATTATAAACACTTCTAATTTAAAAATATTGTTGAGGCATAAGAATTTTATTTGAATAACAAGCTAATAAAAAAATGAATATGTTGATAGAACGAATACCAAACCCAAAATTTCAAATGATGATAACTTTTTTTGGCGAGTGACCAACGGCAATGGACAGTGGTCAGTAAACTTGTTTAATTGTGCATGTCCCGTTGTCATTTGGTGGCTTAGACTAGCTCAGCGTGTGTGACAGTGAATTATGGCCACGTGGGTGACCTGTTGCCTCACTCGTAGGTGTGTCCCAGCCCCTTCCCTCTGGCGATAAATGTAACGCCGGAAACGCTCTTTACAAATGCGGATATGACACAAATAAAATTACAAAAATGTCTCAAGAACTCTCCATGCACCACAGTGCGTATGCGTATTGTGTTGATGTTTATGCGCACAAGCAGTTTTGATAATTAAGCCGATTTTTTTTTTCTCAGATTAAACGACTGTTGGGTACACATAACTTTTAGAGCACAAGGGTATATTGAAATATCCGAAAAGTATGTGCAAGCGTTTTTTAAGCTTTTGGTCAGCTTTCCATGTCTTTGGGAAATGCAATTTCGGATGTTTGTAAAGAAATGGGTATCTCAAAGTCGAGAATGTCAGCTTAAGCGTTCTTTCTTGTTTTTCTCTTTTGTTATTCTTAACGGTCTGTTGAATGAAAAAGATTATTGTTAGCAACACTTCTTATCAAAACAATTCTTCTGTCGTTCAATGTGTCACTCCTGCAAAAAGCTTTATTCCGCTCCAGACTGTTGTGCAGTTCGCTTGTTTTTGAGAGGCGTATAAAATTCGGTGACAATTTAATTTCAATTATATCATCAAATTAAATATAAACAAAAAATAATAATTTAAAGTAAAGTACTAATAGTGTAAGAACTTTGTGTTAAATGAGCCAGTATACAAGTCTAGCAATAAAGTACACAAAAAGCAAACAGCAATTTTACTGGCACTTTTTAATAACAAGTGTTATATAAACAAAAAGTATTTATACACGATAAGCTTAGTAAACGATGTATCTAAGTTATTTATATCCGCAACATTGTTTCCAAATATATAACCGTTTAGCAACATGTAGCATTTATATTTGGAAGCGTGTCATTTTCTCAATCATTTCATCAATTCAACGACTTAAAAACAGACCACAAAAAAGCTGATAAAGAAATAAACGCAAAAATAAAGTAACCAACAAAATTTAAATAGATACACAATTTGCTACTTAGTGAAACATAGAAATACAGACCAAAAAAGATTATTATTAGACCCACTCTCAAATAATTCCTTGAAATCTTTAACCAAAACAACAAATTTCCTTTTATTTGCAGTGCAACGCTAAGTGAGCAAAGTGTCTTCCGTCGTGAACATGGCATTACTGAGCCAGATGTGTTAAATTTGAATGTTTAGGATAATCAAATTGGTATACTAAATAACCGCAAAGCAAACAAAAAACTCCAGCCACATGGCAGTGTTCCAAAGGAGGATTGTGCTGCCACTGCTAGTTTTGATCTCTTGGAGCTATGCATGTAAGTAGCAATGAGCATATCTCAATAAAGAATAATAATATTTGGAATTAAATGTTGTTCAAAACAATATCGTCGAATTAATAACCGCAAACTTAAAAAAAAGTTACCAGTGATAAAGCTTTCAACTTGCACATTTAAAAAAAAATATACATATCTCCACATACAGATTTATATGGAAGCGAATATGGATTGATATTTATGTGTGGGCAGCTGCCCACTTCGCTTCCTTTCTCGCCTTTTTTAAAATTTATATAGCCTGCGAAAAAAAACACAGAAATACCAGTGCCTTGCTGATAATATACACTTAAAAATATACTTAATTTTTTTTAATTTATTTTTTAGGATACTATTTTTGATAAGTATCAAAATTATAAATATTGAAATAATTATTTATAATTGTTTAGGTATAATTCCTAAAGACTCCCTAAATGCACATTTTAATTTATTTTTCTCTATGTGATGCCGTAATCCATTCATCTTCCAAGTTTCTACAACTAGAGTGTACAAACACCGATCTGAACTTTGATCTGATGTTGATAAACATCCGAATTTCTGGCTTGACGCCGCTTTTGTCATTCAACTGTCGTTTCTATTAGTTATAATTGTGATGCCTGATCCGATGTACATGTTTGAATACACACATATAAAATATATGATATGTAGTGCACGAGGCAGAGCCGAGAGCATAATGCCTATCAGGGAATGCCTATTGTTATCGTCTGTAAACAAATAATTGAGCGAAGAGGGAAAACAATCGCGCTGAGCAGAGGCGTAATCATTGCATAGGATAGTAGTATAGTGGGATCAATAAAGTATGGAGAATGGGATCGGTATGTTCAAGTGCCTCTGCGCTCATGTTTCTCCTATGGGGCAGATCGACCGCAAATCACTCGAAGTCATTATTATAGCGCCACCATTGACTGGGGATGTGTCCAATGCAATCTGGAAACCGGAGGCTAGATAAAGTTGCATGTGAAGTGCTCTGTTGTGGGGCATTCGAGCGCTCAATGAACAATACACATACGAGTACAGTTGACCTTCTGGTACACATAAAAAAATACCCTAGATCTATTTAAAAGATTAATAAACTATTAGTTGTTATGGCAATATACAATTTATTCTCACTTGGAACATATTACCTGTATGAAAGAATCAAATTTATTTTTTATTAATTAACAATTAAACCATTCTTAAAGATAAGCACAATATACCAACGTATAATTCTTACTCGAATGAATTAAAGTAAACTTCTGTAAATGTTACTTCCACATTAAAATTCCTCATTATTTAAAATGAAATTAAACTACCTTCCTAAGAAAAAATCAATTACAATAACTTACAATATTTTCTCGAATACATTTTTAGTTCCCCAGCCCCCCCTGGTCGAGTTGGAGGATGAGGACATTACCGCAAACTGCGGAGGCGAGAATGGAGCTCCGCTGATGACGCCCTGCAAGAACTCCATAATTCTGGAATACAATACCAAAACCGAGCTGAAATGCGAGGCGGACGGGCCGATGATCTGGTGGAACAACCACCAAGTACTTCCAAGCACTCCGTTTGAAAATACCGAGGATCCGACACGGCCCTACGGCACAAGCCTGGAACTGATCGATGTGACGGCCGACCAAGTGGGTGCCTATTACTGCGTGAAGTCTACGAATCATACGAAAATCAGAGAAATGCCGGAGGAGGAATTGATCGAGTTGGTGAGCCTGGGCAACGCCAGCTCCATCTACGTATACGTGAATGACCCAAGCAATAAGCTGGTCCTCCTCGATGTCATAGCTACGGCCGTGCAGTACACCGACGTGGTTGTACCCTGCAAGCCAACGATGCCCGACACAGAGGTGCTGCTGGAGACCAGTGATGGAGCTGTGAGTGGACAGGGTCTAATTTTTTTTGAAAGCCTTCCAAAAACAACAAGTTTAATCCATTAAGAAGGGCCTGCATGAATCTGAATAGGGACTGCAATGATAATAATACACTTTGATAACCCATACAAATGTGTCTATAAGTATGCATCAAGATTTATTGATCTTTTTATATCATGGCACACTTTTAGACACCTTTTTCAGAATTAGATTATGCAGAGTAAAAGAAAGAAAACTTACAGCATTAAGTTAGTATGGCTAAAACCTTCGAAATCATGACTTTCCTTTCCCAAGGTGACGAAACTATGGATGAGTTCGAATGGTACCATTCAGGGCAATTCCAAATCGTTCGACAGTGTGCGGTACGATCCCAGGCGGGGATTCACCTTCTTTGTCATTGACGATATATCCGGTTACTATAATTGCAAGGCAATGAACCAATGCGCTATTTTTGACGTTAACTACAGTATGTCGCAGTTTGCCTTAAATTAAATTCGTAGTTAAACCCTTTTGATCCTTGTATATACATACCATACTGTACAGACTATTTATATCCTCGATAACTAAATATTAAAGCGTAGTATTAACAAGTCAGTCCCAAAGTCCGTTACAGTATTGATAGGCTGCTGAAAGACAACCCGTTTTCTAGGCTCCCATTTCTTTACCCAATATCTGACCAATACACCTGTGTGCAGGTACATTCCAGCAGATCCGTCGGTCGGTACGATCCACAGCGGGGATTCACCATCGCAATCCGCAGCATCGCAGATGGCGGCGATTACTACTGCCGGCCAAAAGAGGCCTTTCCGGATAACGAAGAGGAATTGGTCATCATTCCTGTACGCTTTATTGGTAACGGTCACATTGATAGTGAGTTTTTGCACCCCAAAGTTTGTGATTTGTGATTTCCGTCTATAAATGTCGTAAATATTGCTTTCCACTATTCCACTATTATTTTTCAAATCGATCATCTGAAGCGGTTTCGGTTGGCTGCGGTTTTGGTCTCCTGCGGCCAAATATCTAATCTATGCAATTATTTTTTCTTCCAAATTCATGGCTTTAGTCACACTGTAGGCGACACACACACACACATTAACGATACACATGTTGTATCCACTCACACAACATTAAAATACTGCTTTCAAGTTTGAACTTTTAATTTAGTAATACTTTTATTGGTGGTATGATTTTAATGTTTGGATCTTTTTAAATCACAATGATTACAATCGGAACTCAGAGGCCTTATTTTTTAACACATTTATTAATAAAGTTTAAGAAGTTAGATTTTTTTAAATTTCACTCATTCACCTGTTTATTTGTGGTACCGTGTCCACAACGCACAAACACTGCTTGCTAATTACGTACGTGTGCTAACCTATGGTATTTCTCTCTTTCTCTGCGTTCCTCCCACTCCATGTCCCATGTTAAAATCTTGATTGAATCTATACCCGTACCCACTGTCACGTCAATGTACTAACTCCTCCAGAATCAGGATTGGAAATTCCCAGTACCCAGTACCCACCGCCATCGGGATCCTTCACTAACTCACGGGTCACCGGTGACGATGACGAAGTCCTCCCTACTAACCAATCGACGGGCAAAGTGGCACTAATCTATACTGATGGTGATGGTGATAGTGATGGTGATGGCGATGGAGCTTCACCCTGGAATCGGGCGAAGCGAAGTCCAGCCCGGCTGTCCCCGATGAATGCGTCGCCCTCACCCAGACCAGGGCGTAAGTGTTGTCCTGGCTGTTGTTGATCTGTTTCTGTTTCTGTTTGTCTCGTTTGTCTCCTTGTTGTGTTGTCCTCCTGGCTGTGCCCTTTATTTTGCATCCCCTACGTTCTCGCTTTGTGCTCGTTTTTTGTTGGTTATGGACTTATTTAACACCAGTTGCTACCTATTAACTTAGCCACTAATTTGGTAATACTAATCCCGGCTAACACACCTGCCACCTATGTTATGTAGAAACGTTAACCCATTTGTGTCCACGTCTATGTATGTCTAACCCGACCATCTGCATGAAGCTGTAGCATTGCTGGCCACGCCCAGTCCCTTGCGAAGGGTATCTAATAAAGCTAAACTTTCTACCAACGCCACAGAAGCCGGCAAACCGCTGCCAAGTCCCGTGATCAAGCCCCTTCCAGACCGTCACGTCATCACGGGCACCAACTTCACCCTGGATTGCGAGCAGTCCGCTTACTTCCACGCAACATACACCATGAAATGGCAAACTCCGGGTAGAGACAAGGTTAGTAAAATCGGCTTCTTGTATGTTTTAAGGGTTACATTGCTTTCAGAATTAAAAAAAAATTAAGTTTTTTGCGGTTCAACTTAGGAATCCCATTTATAATAATTTTGTGTCCATACCTTGAACTGACTATAACCTATAGCTGTCATATAGGATAAGATACGAAGTTAAAAGTTAATGCTCTTCCCCAGGATCGCATCTCATTCACGGAGGCCTCAATTGATACGAAGACCAAGAACAGCACCCACCAGTTGGGTAGGAGCACATTGACGGTACTGAATACCCAACGTTCAGATTCCGGTCTGTACAAATGCCAGGTCACGGAAAATGCCAAGTCAAACATACAATTCTCCTCGTACAAGATTAAAGTCTTAGGTAGGTGGTTGGAAATTACGAAATGTGAGAGATATTTATTCACTTTTTACCGAAACAAACAGGTCCAGACGAAACCTACTTGAATGTGCACGAGCCATCGGGACATTACGATGTACGGGAGTATGCCAACCGCACTATCCAGATGACGGCCAACTTCGAGGGTTATCCAACGCCCGAAATCAAATGGTTCAAGCCAGATGGAACAGAGGTGCGCCAGTCGGAGAACAACCTGAAGATCATATCCACGGAGCTGAGCACAACGCTCAAGATTCTGAATGCCCAGCTGCAGGACAGCGGCACATACGTCCTCCGGGGCACGAATACCTTTGGCACCAAGACCAGGGAGTACAACGTGAGTGTGATGGACGCCCCGGTACTGAGGATGTCGGACGCCTATGTCCAGGTGGGCTCCGTGGTGCGACTGGAGTGCAGCGTGAGCGCCTTTCCGCCGGCGATAGTCACCTTCGTGTTCCGTCCCTGCCGCCTGGAGCCCAATTGGCCCACCTGCACCGAACCCTTTCAGAACTTCAGCGTGAGTACAACGATGTTGCATAATGTTGGTCCGGGTATAAGGCTTTATTCTATTCTATCTTAAGTAGAAGGAATTGCAATCATTTATGTTACGATCACCACCATCTCTAAATTTCATTACCAATCTTATACAATTTTTAAACAAAGCATAGCTCTAAAAATATATGGAATACAAAACTTTCTTTTCATTTCCATTTATTTTTTTTCTAAATTATTAAACAAATAAACCATTTTGGTGGAGGCTGAGATTAGTCAACAAAATTAGTATTAGATCTCAATAACTAAAGCTATATATGAAATGTTTAAGCTTAGCTTAAATGGTATTTGCATTGTCCGCTTAATTATATTTTATTTGTTGCTCCTGTGTCGTCCCATGCGTTGGTGTTATTCATCTGCAGTTGCCAAGAGTACAAGAGGAATATGAGGTAAATTCTTTGTTAGCAATCCACTTGCAAATTCTTGTCAGCACATTTTCAAATCACTTCTTGGCCCAACCCCACAGTTCCAAACCAAACCGAGACCCGGAAAGTTGAGTGTGGAAACCATAGTCGAGGTATCCTTCCGGCCCACGGAGCCAGGAATCCTCACCTGCATTGCCCAGAATCTGGTGGGCGACAAGGAACGAAGGACCCTAACCAAGGCGCACGTATTGCTGGGCAATATCTCTGAGAATATGACCATATATGGCTTCGACAAGGACCAGAAAATCGCCAAGGAAGACAATTTGAACTTTACCTGCGAGGCACTGGCCTATCACTTCGACGGCAATCTCAAATGGCTTCATGATGGCGAGACATTGGAGGAGTCCAAAGGTATATAGATCGAGGATATATTTTTAGGGATTTATTAAACTATAATTAATTCAACATATTTCAAATCCACAGGTGTTATTATTGAAAACAGTAATACCAATTTCTCCTACAAGAGCACTCTGCATTTTACTTCGGTATCCGACATGGACCGCGGAACCTATGAGTGCCGGGCCTATGAGATCAGAAATTCCTCCCTGTACACCAGCCGCGAGATAACCATGTACGTCCACGACCCTTCGCCTCCGCAGTGGGTGAGCCCCAGCCAGAATGCCAACTCGAAAATCAAGAGGAATCTGAGTCAAACTCTGGAGCTGGAGTGCGTCTCCAAGGCTATTCCCGTGGCCTCGGTGCGGTGGTTCAAGGACGACGTGGAGTTGGCCGAATCGAAGCTCAGGCACTTCATTGGTAATGGCGAAAAGCTGCGGATCACTCACCTTTATCCCGGCGACGAAGGCGCATACAGGTGTCTGGTGGAGAACCGGCTGGGCAGCATTCAGAGCTACTTCACGGTGGTAATTTCAGGTGAGTTTGACTTGCATTTCTGTAGGCTTATTATAAATCATTTATATTATTTCAATGCAGACCTGCCCGGTATTAACGCGTTCTGGATTTGGCTCGGTACGATTATATTCCTGATGCTGATCAGCCTGTGCGTCTTCCTGGCCCTTCGCTACCAGAAAGAGCACAAGCGGAATCTGGCCCTAAAGGCCGCCGGTCTGGCCAATTTCGAGGAGGGTGCCGTGGGGCACATTAATCCCGATTTGACCCTGGACGAGCAGGCGGAACTGTTGCCCTACAATCGAGAATTCGAGTTCCCTCGGGAAAACCTCAAGCTGGGCAAGCAGCTGGGAGCCGGAGCCTTTGGCGTGGTCCTCAAGGGAGAGGCCAGGAACATCCGGAAGGAGGAGCCCACCACCACGGTGGCGGTCAAGATGGTCAAGCGGACGGCCGACAACGAGGTGGTGCGGGCACTGGTCTCAGAGCTCAAGATAATGGTCCATCTGGGCCAGCACTTGAACGTGGTCAATCTCCTGGGAGCCGTTACCAAAAACATTGTGAAACGTAAGTTTTAGTGAGAAGTTTTTAAGATCACTAAAATAATGATGATTATAACATTTGGTTAATACTGATTTCATATTAACATCTATCTTCTTATAGGGGAACTCATGGTTATTGTTGAGTACTGTCGCTTTGGCAATATTCAGAACTTTCTGCTGAGGAACAGGAAGTGCTTCATCAATCAAATCAATCCAGATACCGATCACATAGATCCCAACATCATGACCCAGCGCATTTCCGATAACTTTGACCTGCACCGGTAAGTGATTTCGGGGCAGTATGATGACTAACAAGCCTGGCCTTAATTAACCATTTAGTTTAAACCTTACTTTAGATAACCGTTGTGTTGACTAACTCTTATACTATTTTGTTTTTTTGGTTTTGGTATACATACGCTAAATTTTACCCACCGACTAACAATCAACCCAACACGATCCTCGATCTAATTAACTCTTGCAACACTCCACACACACACACACAAAACACTGAATGTTTTTGCACCTGTGCTTACGATCCCGCTCCTGGTTGTGGTCTCCTCCTCTGTGCTCCCCGCTCTATGTGTCTCCCTCTGTGTGTCCTGTGGTTATGTGGTTATGTGGTGTGGCGACTAAACTCCAACTAACAGCGATGCGAATGGTGGTGGTGGCTTGAAGTACGCCAATGTCCACTCGTACATGAATCAATTGCACTCGCCGCACAACAATAACACCCAACCGCCGCCTCACCGCAGGAACTCGGACAATGATCCCCGACCGGGCACCCGAGCCGGACGACCAGGATCCGGATCCGCCACCTACAGCTACGACCGGCAGATGGACACCTGTGCCACCGTGATGACCACCGTTCCGGAAGGTTGGTTCTTAACCATATTATAATAGCCACAAAATGTAGATATCCACAGTTGTCAAGCTTAAGACATTAGAACTAGTTGAAATATCTTGTATCTACAATTTGAGGAAAGCTTAAGAAAAAATAACATCAAATAAAAACAGGTCACCTTATTTAAGTCAATTAAGACATCATAATATATCATAGAAACAGCATTTTATATATTTAGTGTATTTGAAATAACCTTACAGTAAACGTAAAGCTAAAGGGAAAATAACTAATATTCGTTTTTCTATTTTGTCGGATTTTTAGACATTTTGGACAAAAGTAAAAACTATTTTATATGTGAGGTTCACGAATCAAAATCATTATTTCCGGCCCATAATCTCTTAACTAATAGTTTTTTTTTCTGTGTAAGAATATTACAATAATTAGTACTGTTATTTTTATTGCCTTAACTTTCTAAGCAATTTATTTAATGGACTTAATATCCCATTTAACAGACGAACAAATTATGTCCAACAACTCCGTGCAACCCGCGTGGCGTTCCAATTACAAGACGGACTCCACGGAGGCCATGACGGTGACCACAATTGACCTGGTCAGTTGGGCCTTCCAAGTGGCCCGCGGCATGGACTATCTGTCATCCAAGAAGGTATTACATGGTGATCTGGCTGCCAGAAACATTCTCCTCTGCGAAGACAATGTGGTGAAGATTTGCGACTTTGGCCTGGCTCGGTCCATGTACCGAGGGGATAACTACAAAAAGTCAGGTATTATAATAATTAAAAAGCAAATGATTTGTAAGTTGATTCACTAAATTTGTATCGTCATTTTAGAGAGTGGCAAGCTGCCCATTAAGTGGCTGGCGCTGGAGTCACTGAGCGACCATGTGTTCAGCACCTACAGCGACGTTTGGTCCTTTGGCATTGTGCTTTGGGAGATGTTCTCGCTGGCCAAGGTCCCGTATCCGGGCATAGATCCCAACCAGGAGCTGTTCAACAAGCTGAACGATGGCTACCGCATGGAGAAGCCGCCCTGTGCCAACGGGGAGCTCTACGAGATTATGCTGGAGTGCTGGCGAAAGAAGTGAGTGTCTAAAAACTCTGTGAAAAACCACTCTATTATATTAATTTACTACTTCTTTTTACAGTCCTGAGAGCAGACCTTTGTTTACAGAGCTGGAGAAGCGTTTTGCCAGATTACTGGGCGAGGACGTGGCCAATGTAAGTGGGAATCTTTTAAGTCACAAAGTATACTATTTTCTACTGTACTTAACAGCACTATCTGGACCTAAACAACCCGTACATGCAGAGCAACATAGAGTACATGAAGAACCAGCCGACGGACTACCTGTCCATGATGGGATCCCCCGACGAGCTGGCACCGGCCGCTCCACGCTACGTGAACGGACACATAGTGCCCGATATCCGTGAGTATCCTTTCAGCCATGGACATTGATCAGGTTACTAACTGCGCACAATCACATCCATATGTCACCTGACCATCCAAATGCACCCACAACCATGCTGGCACACTAACTCAGGCATCGAGGAGCTGCCGGATGATTACATGGCAATGAGTCCGGACTCTGATCCCGATGCCGGCACCGCCATATTCTCACCCACGCGCCTCAAAGGCGAGGCGTCCGACTTTCCGGACTTCTCAAGCGAAACCACTTTCAATTTCCCAGGAGCGCGGCAATCGCCTACGCTGAGCAACAATCTGAACAGCGGTTCCAGCAAGCCGCTGCTCAAGAAGAACGGCCTGCCCACGGTGGCAGCGGCGGATCAGGATCCGGAGGAGATACCCATGCTGCACCGCCGCTCCGACGGATCGGACGACCAGAGTCCGGAGCAGGGCAGGAGATTCAATCAGGCCCTCCAGCAGCAGTATGTCACGCCCACGCCTTCGCCCCGCCATCATGTGGAGACGAAACTCAATGGGGATTCCGCCGAAAACTACGTGAATGTGAAGCCACCCAGAAAGAATATACCCGGCAAAACCACAACTGGAGGAGGGGGTGGTGGTGTTGGGGGAGCGGCACCCACGGAAGCCTTCTCGAATCCCAGCTACCAGTCACTGTCCACCGTCAACGAGCAGCGAAGGTATTAGGAAGTCCCGGAGCCATTAGTTTAAGTCCTCTACACAGCTTAGTTGGAGTTTTAAATGGATTGAAAAACAAGAGAACGCTATAGTCGGGTGCCCCGACTATCAGATACCCGTTACTCAGGTAAAGGGAGTGCGAGGGAGATGGAGATAGAAACTTTGATCACGCATAACTTTTTAACGAATGGTCCGATTTGAAAAATTTCTTCTACATTTCGATAGGTATTGATAAACACAATAAAACTGCATTTTTACTTTTCCGAAATATTTAAATTTTTAAAATCGTATCTAAGCGATTGTGGGCTTAAAGGGGGCGTGGCACCTTTTTGAAACAAACTTGCGCTGCGTAGGAACTCCTAGAATCTGCATGCAAAATGCCAATCTTCTAGCTTTTATAGTTTCCGAGATCTCAGCGTTCATACGGACAGACAGACAGACGGACAGACAGACGGACAGACGGACAGACGGACAGACGGACATGGCTATATCGACTCGACTAGTGACGCTGATCAAGAATATATATACTTTATAGGGTCGGAAACGCTTCCTTCTAGCTGTTACATACTTTTGCACGAATACAATATACCCTTTTACTCTACGAGTAACGGGTATAATAATTGATTTTAGGAAAACAAATTATTATAAAACATGATACAGCACGATAAAAATATTTAGGTTCCAACTGATCTATATAGGGGACTTTAAAAAACCATACTACTTAGTGACATTGTCAAGATTCTGATATAGCTTTAAGACCACCCACACTCACTCCATGTTAAATACTATTAATGCCATTTCATGTTTTAGCTTAGTCTAGATCTAAGCCGAATAAACTTATCTATGTATGTAATTGTTTGTCTTGTATTATGTATGCATGCACCTACGACTACTCAAATACAATGAGTATAATAACAATATTATCAAGCTCTTTTTTTTTAAACGGTGGTTAGCTTAAGCTGTCTGTCTTGATTAAATTTCCGTCCGTTTCAATGCGCCTCCGTTTTTCCTGCAGCTCTAATTCCATGAGTTCATTCTTCAGATTAATTGACTTTAGCTCCAGGCGATGTTTCTCAGCAGATCTGACATTTTCGTTGTAAAAGAATCTCTGTTGAAGTCGAATTAAGGCAATTTTCTCATCGGCCAATGATCTCATTTTGTTTCGTTTACTTAAAATAAATCTTCTTGGTAATTTTTTCTTGTTGGGGGAAAGGGGAGACTGAGATTCGACTGGCGTTTGATTTTCATCCTGAGGCAGATCCTAAAATTATAATTAGCTACAAAAGTTTTATATTTAGTTAAACTATATACTAAACCATATCGTTTGATTCCGTTCGAAATATTGGACTTTTAATACTGTCGACTAGAAATAAAAATAAATTTATTCTAATTTCAAATAAATATCTTCTTATTTACCTTCATAATCCTGTTGTTCATTATCCAGCGATTTGTCAGGATCAGACTCATGTCCAGCAATATTATCATACACCACGGATACACAATTGGTGGCTGGTTCAAACTCTTCCGCCGTGAAGAAGCGTGGAATCATTGAGCCCTCGGTCTTGAATTTAGTGTTCATGTTCTTGTACTTGTCCTTAAGGGTTCTCCAGGTGCGCTTGGACCCAGTTTTGTTGGAGAACTGGTGAGCCAACTTCTCCCAGGTGTCCTTTTTCAACTGGCAAGTGACCGCATCGGAAGACTTGTTGTCGATGATGTGCTTATAAGATTGGATCAGCTCCAACAGTATGATCTCTTCGGAGACGGCAAAGTTTTTGCCCCTTTTTCGGGTTGGTTTGTTTAAGGGGCTGAGGTTAAACATTTTATTTTAAATCGAGATTAACTAAGCCACAATTGACATTTTGGTTTAAGCCAAGCTGATGGCAAAGTAAACTAACCAGTTTACTAAAACTAACTTATATAAAATAAGTATTGGATTTTAAATTATTGGTCACGAAAATTTTCATAATTGTAAAACACCAATTACTGGCACAGAAAACATTCATATTAACCTAAACCTAAAAAATAAATAATTAAAAATTGCAATTCAAAAAAACTACTATTTCAAACTTTTTAAATCTGATTAACGGACTATCCGCTACCGATTATCCGACCGTCAACTATCGATTACTCGATAGCCGCTTAGTGTCACCTCTAGTAGAAATTCGTGTTGCTCTCTGTAATTTGTAATAATTGTTTTTAGCTCAATTCAATTGTTATTTACTCGGCCCCAAAATGATGGTAAGTACATATTGAAACCCAAAAACTAATTTAAATCTTTAAATTATTTAAGCAATTAAATTGCTTAGTAGTACTCAGATTTCGTGGCATCTAAAATGACGCCTCTCCCACACACAAAGAAAGTCTTATCACAAAAAAATGGGCGTAATTAGAGTGCATATCGGTTTAATGGTTTTTTGCCCCCATAGGACGGCACGGATGACTCAAATCTGCTGAACAGTCCCTCTGCCAACAATGGCAGCACAATGGAAATCGCCTCGCCCACAAATCCACTGGCCAATCCACCAGCAACAGGCGGGGCACCCGCACCAAGTGGTGCCACAAATGGCAGCGGATCCGCCACATCGCCGGATAGCTCCTCCTCCGCTCCGGCCACCCCCGCCGTTCTCGGCGAGAACGCCCTCCACGTCGAGATCTCCGATGCGCTGAGCGAAAAGGAAAAGGTCAAGTTTACAGTGCACACCCGCACCACGCTGCCAGGATTCGCGAAAAAGGATAACAATGTGGTGCGCCAGCATGAGGAGTTCGTCTGGCTGCACGACCGCATCGAGGAGAACGACGACTACGCCGGCTACATCGTGAGTTTGCGGTTAACGTATAAACATATTGCTAATTTATGTTTATCTTACCTAGATTCCGCCCTGTCCACCTCGTCCAGACTTCGATGCCTCCCGTGAAAAGCTACAGCGCCTTGGCGAGGGCGAGGGCAACATGACCAAAGAGGAGTTCAAGAAGATGAAATCGGAGCTGGAGGCGTTAGTGATAATTGTTCCGAATATTAATTTTTTTTATTCATGACATTCATATATACTTGCAGGGAGTATTTGGCCACCTTCAAGAAGACAGTGGCCATGCACGAGGTGTTCCTGCGCCGCCTCGCTAGCCATCCCGTTTTTCGCGTTGACCAGCACCTGAAGGTGTTCCTCGAATACGACCAGGACCTGTGCGCCAAACCCCGCAAAAAGATGGCCATCTTTGGCGGCTTTGTCAAGTCCCTGGGGAAGACCACGGACGAGATCCTGCTGAGCGCTACTGTGCGGGATGTGAATGACTTCTTCGAAAACGAGCTGCAGTTCCTCACCGAATACCACGGCCATTTGCGTGAGGCAGCGATCAGAACGGAAAAAATGACGCAGCGCCACAAAGATGTGGGCGACTCGCATCAGAAGATTTCAAATGCTTTGTCGCAACTCTCGACCACAGAGAAGGGTAATGTGGAGACTTTTGTGGCCAAATCGGCGGAGATATTCGAGAGGATAAAGGTGGGGCATAATCTTAATTCCCGCTTGTATTTGATTTTTTAAATCTTTAAATTTCCCTTAGAATCTGGAGACCCGAGTGGCCAGTGATCAGGATCTCAAGTTGGGCGACACCTTGCGCTACTATCAGCGGGATAGTGACGCTGCCAAAGCTCTTCTAATCCGGCGACTGCGATGTTTGGCCGCCTATGAGACGGCCAATCGAAACCTGGAAAAGGCGCGTTCCAAAAACAAAGATGTGCATGCGGTAAGTTTTGGTGGCGGTTAAAATATGTGCTTCCTAAACAATGTTTCAAAAAGTTTCAAGAGCAATTGTTTTCCCTAAAAAAAGTTTCCAGCGGGGCAATTAATTCTCACGCTTCACTAATTACAAAAAACAAATTATTTGCGTTCTTGTATTTTATTTCTACCGTCCACAACCCAAATTGCTCTGCTCTCTACTCTGCCTGTCCCTCCCTCTTCACTCTTTGTGCGTGTTTGTGGTTCTGTTTCTGCAGCCTTTGGAGGTGCAAGAGGTATTTGGCATTTAACGTATTAACCGTCGATTTAGTAGATGTGTCGCCACCCCACGTAACTGATGCATGTATTCCACCGTTGCTCCATTCATATTCACTCTAGCATGTCTTTGTTGTGACCCATTGTACCTGGTATAGAAAGTGACTAATCTTTCTTATTTACACCCACTTAGGCTGAGACTGCCCAGGCGGAGGCCTGTGAGAAGTTCGAATCGATGTCTGCCTGTGGAAAGGAGGAGTTGATCGGTTTCCGCAACCGACGGGTAGCTGCTTTTAAGAAGAGGTGAGGGATAAGTTTCCAAATATTTTGTTATAATATTAATTTAAATTTTTCAATTGCCAATTTAAGCCTCGTGGAACTATCGGAACTAGAGATCAAGCATGCCAAGACCCAGTACGAATATTTGCGCCAATCGTTGCTTGCGCTCAAAGAAATTGCCTGAGACGGGGAGTCGGCGGAGGCGGAGGAACCGGAAGCGGAAACGGATGAGGGGTAGGAGGACGAGTCACCCGCACATTGTTTACACACCCCTTTGAAACGCACGCCTCACTTAAAAAAACTCGACCCCGGGAGACGAAGTAAATCAATTGTTTAATTGCTAAGCAAACAGTTTATTATTGCACAGGCCAGCGCGAGTGCAACATTATTTCTTAGCCCACGTATTGTATTAACGAATATCCATTTGTTTTGTGAACAGAGCGCTTTTATATTTGTCAAACAAGCATTCCTCTCTAAAGCATAAACTACAACTATATTGTAAACACTTGCATTTGAAGCAGAATATAAACGAGAACTATTGTACAGAAGACAGGCTGTTTGTAATCAGTCAGTATACTAGATTTGCTTGGAATCGTTTCGGTAGCCAGGCAACAGGAAGCGTTCCCAAATTAAACGTTATAAGGATAGCACTTTCCAAAGGCGCTAGCAATTTAGTTTGTTGTTAGAGTTTCTTTCAGTTTCCTCTAGTTGTTTTTTGGATTGAAAAATCCCCAAGCCATGGATGATTATGGCGTCTTCGATTACAAGCGCCCTGCCAGCGCTACGGATCCCGATTGGAGGAGTTCGTACTATCACGGGCATCGTCACATCACGGACCTTAGGATGGATAATAAGTTAAATCCCAAATTTGCGGACAAGAGCATTTATGTAAGAGATCCTCTGCTGTCGCAGAAACCGACTTCAGAATGCATGGCCAATTATGTGTGGCAGGTGAGTAGCTTGAATCGTGTTTTCTTCCATGAAATTAACTGTTGCCCCTCAATCCACCCAGTACGGCAATCCCAACACCCTGAGGAATCCCTCGCTCAACATGAAAACGCAGTACATGAAGCCATTCGAGGAGGGCTGTCTTCGCTTTGTGAAGCGGAAGATGAAGCCCATCTCGAGTGTCAGTCATGACTCTTTTGTTCTCAAAGAACTGCCCGAGGAGCAGGAGATTCTGCCGATCACAATGCCAACTCCCGTGGCAGCCACCAAACTTATCATCGACCGTTCGGAGGCGTCGTACAGCAAGTACCTGGACCCCTCATCCACCACCTACAATCTCTCCTATGTTCGCTTGAGTCCCGAGGATTTATGTGGCGGAGTAGCGGCCCACGACAATATAACATTCTGGAATTGGTCGGAGAAGATGCCGCCCACGCGGAAGGTGTCCCGCGAAGTGGATCCCACGATGTGCGACGAGGGCTCAAAACAGCTCTGTCCCAAGCGGCGCGAGTTCCAGAATCTCAAAAAACCAGTGCCCCATTCGGGAATGGTCACCGAGGTTCGCGCTAACTTCACGGATCCGCAGTTCCGAAGAGTGGAATTCGATCCAGACGTTAAGCCGATTCTGGTGCACACGGAAGTTATTCCGTTTTCCAAGAGAAGCGAGTACGCAATCTACGGATCGGGTGAACCCGTTATTAAGTATGTTTAGTTTTGTCTTTGAATAGTTTCGACTTTACTTTCAGCTAAATTTATGTTAGCAAAATAAAGAACATGGTCACTAATACCCGACTGTCTATCAAGTGGGATATGGGAGTTCTTAGCCCACAAAGTTTGATTGACATTTAAATTGTTTAATTTACAAATAAAATATTTTATTCAAAGAAAGTCCTACAACGGTACACTTTTGTCAAAACTGAATATACTGTAGAATTTTAAGTTTTCTCATATCATTCAAATGAGCTAAAGCTGTAAGGCAAGAGGTGGTAGGCGGAAGTGACCAGCACCTCGTCATCATCCTGGATGGCGGGTATACAGTTCTCCTGCTCCGGCGGAGGAGCCTTGGCAATGTAAATCGGAATGTCCCTGTGCACAAACTCCAGGATGAACTGGCGGCAGACACCGCAAGGTGTGGTGAACTCATCCGGATGATAGGCAACTACAGCACCCGCCGTATACTTCTTCTCACCCTCGCTAATTCCCTTGGCCAGAGCACATCGCTCCGCACAATTGCCCGCAGTAAACGACACATTTTCGATATTGCAGCCAGTATAGATCCTGCCGCACTTGGCCCGGAAAGCTGCTCCCACTTTGAATTTGCTGTACGGCACATAGGCGCACCTGCGGGCGGAGAGGGCTGCCTCCAGCAGCTCACGACCGTCCTCACCTTAGGGATTTAGGAATAATATGAGAGTGACGGTGGGAACTACTATTCAGGTCAAGTGCACACTTACCGACTGCACAGAAGGCCACCGTGTACTCCTCCAGCATCTGGGGATGTGGCAGGTTCTCGGATTCACTTGCTCGACCCTTGTCCCCGTTAAGGCGCGCCTGCCTGCGGGCCAGGTCACAAAGCAAGCCCTCCAATGTCATCATGTAGGCTCCGAGGACCTTTCGGAGCTTTTGCTGGCGCAACTCCTTAATCTTACCGCCGGCACACTTGGTGCCAGATCGCTCCTGGCGACGTGCCAATTCGCACTGCAATAGCTCCAGCTCCTTCATCTTCTTCTCCAGCTCTTTTCGCTTCAGCTCATCCTTCAAGTCGTTTAGGTTCTTCATATACCGCTGTAGGACCTTCCGCTTTTCAGCCATTTTTGTCTACTTAAAATTTTTGGGAAAACACCTATTATTGTTAGCCAGAAAGAGGTAATGATTCTGTTGAAAACCTGTAAAATATTAACGTCATCTTATCCAAGGGATTGAAATTTGTATTTCCGTAGGTTTCTATGATTAATCCCGTTGGTATAAAATACCAAAATATGTTATACATATGTTCAACGATATCTTTTTTGTGAATTAAGGTAGTATTAGTTCTCTTTTCAATAAGTCGGGAATTCCCCCTATAGTGATTTATCAAATTTCTTAACGTACATATGTACATATATACTTGCATATAAATGTGTAATGTTTTTCCTTCGATTTCTATTGCTCAAATTGATATTAGATTCTAGTTTCCTTTTTGTTACTTTAAACAATAAGAACCTTTTATTATTTTAACTTGTCTACCCCTATATAAAACTTTACCTTTTCTCATATGACTTCTGTTTATAATTTCAGTTGTGATAATCTTAAATTTGACTTACTTTTTTATAAGCCTATTTTAAAGATTTAATAAACAATTTTTAATCAGTTTCTTTAAAAATATTTCCAAATTGTAATCTTTGAAAAATAATCAATTCTCTCATATTTTTATTGGACAGAAACATTAGCCTTTGTTAAGAAGTGTAATTTTTTTTTATTTCAAGTGATTAGATTAAAATGATATAGATTACTATTGACAAGAGGTTGTGGAGCAACCTTGAACTACCTCCTTTCTCTCTCCGCGATTCTTCTATCCAGTGGCATTACTTCCGATAGGTGCGAAAACTGCTCGGCAACAGATTGAAGATTGAGGTGCACAGGACAGGATCCTCATTCTGGAAAGGTTCCTCCTTCGCTGTTATCCTCGCATCGATGGCCTGGGCTACATATATGGGTATGTCATCGGTGGCAAACTCCCGAATAAACTGGCGGCAAACACCACAGGGAGTGGTAAAAACATCGGGTTCGTAGGCCAAAACAGCTCCTACAGAAAATTCGGTGGTTCCCTCGCTCACGGCTTTAGCAAGAGCCGTCCGCTCCGCACATGAGCATGGTGTAAAGGCCGCGTTCTCCACATTACACCCGGTGAAGATCTGTCCACTTACTTTGCTCCGGAAAGCAGCACCCACTTTGAACCCACTGTATGGCACATAGGCCCGCTGACGCACTTCAAAAGCAGCTGACAAAAGTTCTTGAACAGAGGGATCTGGAAGCCAAAAACAATCCACGTCACAGTAGTAACAAAGAAAATTATAAATTAAAACTTTAGATACATAACACAAACCTATATTAAAGGTCTACAACAATATTAAATCGTTGTTATTATAAATATTTATAAAAATATCTTATGGATAGCGCTCGATGTATGTGAAGATCGGGTTTTAATTATCAATCTGAAGCAGGTTTCTTACCCAGACTGCCGTAGGTGACAACCTCTTCCGCCTTCTCCGCGCGTGCAAAATTTTTGGTCAGATTTTTCATTATTATTTAATACTTTTGGTCAATGGATGCACGGTTCTTTTTTTCAAATTTTGTTATATTTTTAGCAAGCCGAGTGAGTGGTTGTGTCTCCTCTGAACGTCCGCTGGAAAATGGACGGGTTGTGGTGTCGACGCCGCGCGAAGTTGGCTATGATGATAGCCATCTCGTCGTGTGGTGGTGACAAAAATAAACACTTGGACAACTCGGAGCGGGAGAGAGAACTAGCCGCCTGATAAGCATAGATCGTAGAGAGTAGTGAAAAACACAAACATATGCGAGCTGCCATGTATAAGCTATTCAATTAACAAATAACGAGGGGTGGGTTTACAGAATTCAGCAAACTGGGAGTCATATAAAATATTGCACATGGATTGCAGCGGACTGGCACATTGCCAGTTTCTCATTTTCCTATTTTCCGTTCAAAAAGCTGAAGCCGTTGGGCAGCAATTGCAGAACGCTGGTGCAGAGCACCCTCAATGGAAGATTTGTCGGTTTGGCGGCGTACAGGGGGATGTCCTTGCCGTTGACGAACTCCGAAAGGAACTGCCGGCAGACGCCGCAAGGCGTGGTGAAGCCATTGTCCTGCTGGGCTACCACCGCACAGGCTACAAAGTCCCGTTTGCCTTCGCTAAAAAAAATATAACATTATTTTTTGGATCATTAATTCGATCATTTACAGAAATATTTCCCAACAAAAAAAAACAAAAGAAAGAATCCCGTTCGAGGTCCTATCATTGAGTTATTTTGATTTGATAATTTGTTCACATATCTCTTTAACAATATATACAAATTGTCTCTCAAAATATAAACTGTATTCAGTTTCTTTTCTTCAATAATTGAAAAACCATAAAACCTTGTTAAAAAATTACAAAGAAAAAAACATCTATTTGTCTTAAATTTCCCAGGGTAATTCCAGATGTGTTGTGTTATGACCAATTAAATCATTTGAAATGCATAACCAAGACGCAACAACTGATTAAAGATTATTACTATTTGCATAATAAAAACGTAATTCTTAAGTTAGACTCATTTTTTTAACAGAAAAAAATACGGATTGCTTGGTGGGATTTTCATACATATATGTATGTACAAATCGGTGACCCTCAAGATTATTGACCCACTGACCTGATGGCCTTGACGGCGGCAGTGCGTTCCGCACAAATGCAAGTCGCATATGCACCGTTTTCTATGTTGCAACCGGAATATATGGTGCCATCGCTGGTTCTCAGGGCAGCTCCCACGGCAAAGTTGCTGTACGGACAATAAGCCTGCTTCCTGGCTTCCGTGGCTGCCAGGATGAGCTCTTGAATCGAAGGATCTTTGGGATAGAGAACAAATTAGACGGTTTTATCACGATTTTCCCAAATTCGTACCCAAGCTCTCGAACTCCCGCACATTGGGCTCGTCCCTTGCTCCATTAATAAACACCTGTGTCATGGCCAACGTTTGTTAACTAATAATTCGCAATAGAAAAAGCAGCTCAACAAATAAACAGCTCCAATTATCACTCCCAATACAAATAGGGTGGCTGCAGCAGCTGTTTTCGGCAGGGGCGTACGCTCAATTGTTTTTGTGGGGAATAATTGGGATCAATTAAAAAAAATATATTTAATATTAAATACTAAAATAAACTTATTTAAATCAAAATAGTAATTTATTTTGAGAAAATAAAATCACTTAATGTAATTTCGATAAAATACTTTTGGAAGGATTTTGATGACACTAACCCCTTTGAGGGGCTCCTGACTTCGGGCAACGATGTCCAACACTGCCAATCATCATATAAATAAATACATATGTACATACATATGTATTCAGGTAGATGTGGGTGAATTTTGTTTGTACATACACATATGCTCTCAGCAATCCGTGAATTGCGTCTGCTTTATTTTTCTCTTATCGAGTAATTCAACCCCGATCGGAAAAGTTAGCGACCGATTTGCTGGGCACTAAGACCGGAAAGACCGTGAGTGACTGTTTTTGTGGTTTCCCCGCACAAATTTTTACCCAATTCAGTGTAATAATGTCGACGCACCCAAGTCATCAGCGACAACCGTCAGAGGACGTACAGATCTCGATGGGTGGATCCGGCAATGGCGTGCCGGAAAGATTACCCCCGATTAGCGCGGAGGACCAGCGCTTTCCGTACTGTATCGTGTGGACTCCCATTCCAGTGCTCACCTGGCTGCTGCCCATGATAGGTCACATGGGCATTTGCACCTCGGCCGGAGTGATTCGTGACTTTGCCGGCGCCTACTTCGTCTCGGAGGACAACATGGCGTTCGGGCGACCTACCCGCTACTTGAGATTGCATCCAAAGTATGTGGAGGGCGGTAGCTTTGCCTGGGACGAGGCCGTGTCCAAGGCATCCGTCCTCTACGGCACCCGCATTCACAACATCTTCTGCGACAACTGCCACTCGCATGTGGCCACGGCCCTCATAAACATGCGCTACAAGAATAGCACCGGATGGAACATGCTAATCCTTAGCATGTGGCTCTTTGTCTGCGGGCGTTACGTCGGAATCGGGGGCATCCTTAAGACCTGGCTGCCGTTTGCGATTTTCCTGACCATTTGTATACTGCTAGGCGTCTACTTTTAGTGGCTAAGACTACATTTATTTTATATTATTCTATTTAAATGCATGTTAAAGTGATGTAGTTTAATTATATGTACGGGATTTTACTAAAAACGGAAACTCTTAGAAAATATGTATTATTTAAAAGGGATGGGAAAAACAGCACAGAAGCAAATAAGATAGGTTTGTTTAAACGCATTATCATATATACATAGGTGCAATAAATGGATTATTTATTCGCATTTACGCTTGTATTCACAAGCCAGATAAGAAACATAATAGCCATTTTTATTGATCATTAACTTAGTATTAATATTAAATTGTGACAAAATCTATCGGGTTGAAGGCCGGAAAGGACTATTCCTTAAGTACATCCGACCTAAATGCTTACTAACGCATTTTAATCTGAACAAATTGTCAAAATCCACGTATAAGATAATGTTTATTCACTGGGTACTTTCATCTTAAATGCTTGTTAACAAGGTGTAGAGACATTATATCTATGATAGGACTTAGCGCTTAGTGTGAATTAACATATTTCAATTCTCAACGGCGCGTGTTACCTCTTCCGCCACTTCTAGAAGTTTTTTCCACTGCTTTATAGACAGGGAGATGCCCTTCTTGCCCGGCAGGGTTTCACCGCTCTTCTCGTAGAACTCTCGAATGTCCACCATCTTGCGGCCGCGAAACTCGTTGATTCGCACCTGGCGAAGTCCTTCCAAGGTCCAAGTGGTGGCCCCATCTCCACCAGAATCTCCGGAAGCGGATTTAGCTTCGCCGGGGCCAGAAGATCCCTTCGGTTTCTTGCTTGCCGGCGGATTGCGCTGTGTTTTTATGTACATGAAATGACTCGAGTCCGTTTTAAGTGTAATTCGAGAAGACTTACATCCTCCGGGCCGCTGTCGCTCTCTGAAGAGGAGTCCTGTTGCTTTTTTTTTGTCTTGGGCATGTTTTTTTTTATTTTTAGGAAAACGGAATAATTTGGCAAAAAATGCGTGAAAATTCGCGCTTGTTAGTTAGTGTTGTTAAGCGCGTCCAAAGAGTAGGAACAAAAATTCGATTCCTTAATCGATAAATTAATCCAGAAGCAACGATTCATTGTTGGAAGTTCAAATGGATTTGTTTTATAACCGCTATTTTAAGTTAATTTCCTTAATCACGAAATAAGAAATAAACTGTGATATACTATGAAATATTAAAGATAAACGTAAAAAGCTCTAAGAAAAAAATACAACTTTAATTAAATGTTTAAAGCGCTTTAAATAATTCCTAAATACAATTAAATTTGTTTTTTAGTCTGGAAAATGTATCGGACCATCTGACTATCGATTATTTGACCGCAGTGTTAGCAATCAGTGCGCATTGTCTCACACTGTTTCACCGGCGTCACTTCGGAAGGCGCATTTTTTTTGCAGACTTATCATTTTATAAAAAATTCTCCTGGCGTCAGCACCGCCGCTGCTGCAAATAAAGTTAACCGTGCAACTGAAGATTGTTTTTTTCTTGTTCTATAACTAAATAGAGGTAAGTGCCTGCCAGTTCTATTAAGTAAAACCGACTAAAAGGGTGCATGTGCTTGTGTGCGTGTGGCTGTGCAAATTCTATTTTTTCACCCGTGCGAAGTTTTTAAAGTACAAACAAAATGGGCAAGAAAACCGATAATACCGAGAGCTCCGGCAAGGGCTCAGATGCCGAGGAGGAAGAGTACGCCGTTGAGAAGATCATTGACCGGCGGGTGCGCAAGGGCAAGGTGAGTGATCCCCCTTTTAAATTTCCTTGATGTCGGGTCCTACTACGGCATTTTCCACCCGCAGGTGGAGTACTACCTTAAGTGGAAGGGCTACGCCGAAACGGAGAACACCTGGGAGCCGGAGAGCAATCTCGACTGCCAGGATCTCATCCAGCAGTACGAGCTGAGCCGCAAGGACGAGGTAAGTGAAATGCGATGCTAGGTACAGTTGTGCTCGCTTGGTTTCCAATTACAACCAATTTTGATCCGTAGGAAAGGGCGGCGGCATCCAGAAGGGACCGACCGAGCAGCAGTAACAAGTCCAAGGAAACCACGGGACGCGTTAGCACATCGGCGTCAACTACAAGCAAGCGAAAGTCCGAAGAACCAGCAGGTAGGCACTTATCCCAAAAGGATCTAGACCGTAATCCACAAAATGACCCTATATATCTACAAAAAATCTTTTCTCTACACTAACACTTATTTTTGCCGCGCAAAATTGTACAAATAGTAAATAATGACTGTCAACGTTTCGGCTCTAAAGAAACTTTTTCTTAATTCTTTCTTATTTTTTTAGCGCCCGCTAGCAACAAATCAAAACGTACAACAGAGGCGGATCAGGACAGCACTGATTCCTTGCAGACCGGATCAACCGGATTTGATCGCGGCCTAGAGGCCGAGAAGATCCTGGGGGCCTCCGACAACAATGGCCGTCTGACATTCCTAATTCAGTTCAAAGGAGTGGACCAGGCCGAAATGGTGCCCTCTTCAGTGGCCAACCTCCAAATCCCGCAGATGGTGATCCACTTCTACGAGGAGCGTCTGTCCTGGTACTCAGACAATGAGGATTAGGCTCATCCTTGAAGTTGGAGCATTAATAGACCGAGAAGAGCGTTAACACATCCAACGAATGAAACAACCACATAGATTTATCTCTGGCCCCCCTGCAGGCGTTTACTCCTCACAACTCGTGAAGCTTCGGACAACCTTTCTATATCTGTCCAGGATTCATGCTTGTATTTATGATTAACATTTTCGTGAATAAACAAAACTTATGTTCAGATGGAGCCTATGCAAGTGGTTCAAACTTAAGGTCCGGACGAATGGTGGGATCTGATGTGCATGTGCTGGCCATATGGCAGAAATAGTCCTTTCTTTATTGCCCTCTTTTAAGTTGCAAGGTCAACGCTTAGGTTGAGGACAAGGCTGATTTTACAATAGTCCCACACTTAGAGACATTTTTAAGTATTTAGAAGTTTGTTGGCCACATTACATTCGGAGTTCTCGAGCACATTACCGCAGCAGGACCAATGTCGTCTCCCTGGATGTCCTGCATGTCCATGACCACAGCCACTATATCCAGGCATTCGACCTTCGCACGAGCACATGACACTTCGGTTGCCCTTTCCGGAGCAGAAGGAGCAGCAGTGGTATATGCCCGTGTGGGGACGAACCTGACGAGCCTGAAATGTGAAAGGACCGCCTTTGATGGGCCGCTCGTTGATCGTAACTGTGAGGATAAGAGCGCCCTGGGCATCTGGCGTAAATGAGATGTTGTAGGTGCCATCCCGATTGTCCGACACCTCCACAGGCAGGAACTTGGAACTCGAGTCCTTGTACTTGAGCATGCAATTAATCTCCAATCCCCCGTGGCACAGGGAAACTCCATCGACATCTCTGGAGTGTAACAGGAGATCTGCCTTTTTGTGGAGACGTAGCTGGGAAAACCCCTCCCACTCCAAGGTGCACAAACCAGGTTCCACTACCTGCATGGTAATTATTCCATATAGAGGAATGTCACGCTGGTCTTTTGTCGACGGAGCGCGGATTTTAGGAAGGAAGTGCAGCGAATCGGAGATCTGGAAGAAAAATGATATAATTTTGTTTAATGATTTTAACTGATGGTTCGCATACCTTCGGATCGACCGGCGGTTTAAATTGTTGACAGTACTCCAAACGTCTGAGGAGTATAGCCGCATAACTCAAGATCTCCACATCGGCACCAATCTCGCACAGCTCTTGACTGAATCTTACTGCATCCAGAGCCTGCTGTGTTCGTTTCTCTAGAGGAATACCCCAGTAAACTAACGTAAAAATTATAAGAAAGAAAAATCTCACCCAGTTCCAGTTGCTGCTTGAGTACAACCTCCACTTTGGACTCCCTAGCTCTACTAATTTGCTGAATCAAGGTCCTTCGATGCACTTCTAAGGCCTCGATGTAGTTCTGCATATACCGCTCTACTTGACTCTGGATGTCGTCGCATCTAGCGTTTATTCCACGTGCGATCTCGTTCAACCTTTCAATGGAGTGTTCCGCATATTGACATAGCGGTCGAGTTTGATCCGTAGCTTCTTTAAGGAGTTTTCCCTGATGACCGATCGCCCGGGCTATAGTCTCATGCCGATGACCTTTATGGAGTAACACCAAACAATCGGTACAGGCCAATTGGCGGCATTGGGTACAGAATGCCTTTAGTTCGAAGTTGGTATGGATTCCACATCGAAGAACTAGTTTGCTACTGTCTCCCAATCCCAGTTGCTGTTGTTTTTGTTTCCTGGCGCGTCTTAATTCTAGGATGCTCCTCATCCGGTGATTTGCAGTGGTCCTTTGCCTCTCGTGTGCCTCCTTGCACAAAGTGCAGAGATTCAGGGTACAGCTTATGCAGTGATATGTGGCCTAGAATGAGGGAATGCCGATAAGAATGTGGACCCTAACCTATGTTATTATGGTCAATGACTTAATGATTCATATTACTTACACTGATTTCATCGGTGCAAAGAGAACACCAGACCTTGGAGATTACATCCTCCCCAGCCTGTAATCGCAAGACCTCTATGCGTCTGACCAACAAATAATTCTGTGGGAGCTGACGCACTCCACCCAATGGGAGCTCGGTTGGATAGTTGCATCTGTGGCAGCGGATGCATCGAGTATGCACTTCGCTTACAAAGCTTCCCGTGAGCCGGGTTCCGAAGGAGCTTGTCGATCGCTTTCCCTCACTCTTTGACTATTAATAAGGAGTTGGTTACTGAGGATCTACATTATTTCCCCAATCTTACCCTGATTACAAGGCGATCCAAAGACTTCTTTCTTCTTAGACTGAAACTAGCACCCCGCTGCCTGGCGGGCGAAACCGTAGCCGTAAGTTCCGCACTAGATCCACCCATCTCCGATTTTAGACTATAGCAGGAGGGATCCTCGCTACGGGCTTGATCCTGATCCCAGAACGACTCGTCCTTAAAATTCTCGCTGACCAGGCATTGCAGACAGAAGGAGTGCAAGCAATACAAGGTCCTGGGATCCGTGTAAACATCTAGACATATGCCGCACTTAAGATCATCCGTAAAGGTTATGGTGCTCTCGGGGGGAGTAGTAGGTCTCAGGGTAAAGCTCGGTGATGGGGATACTGCTGGGGAGGCCGCAGGCGATCGGGAAGGACTTCTGACCAGGGGCGATGGTGCATCGAAGATCTCTGGCCTTGCTGACGCTGCCAGCAGAAGTTGGGGTAGCATCTGCAGCTTGGGTTGGTTAGAGTCTGGTGTGGGAGGCGAGATCCTCAACTCCGGCGAAGCCTTCAAGCTTAACAGCCTTTTCGGATGCAGTTGCTCCTTGGCTTTGATGGGCTGTGCCACCGTGGCATTGCTCACCTGACTGCTGCTGCTACTTTGGACGGAAACGGAGGACGCGCCACTGAGAATATTATCTAGTAAGGATTCAGGTGAAGTGGAACTTCCACCTCCAGCTAAGCTGCTGCTGGGCTCACTGCCACTGTCCTTGTCCTGCAATCCAAAGTCTTCCCCGGGTAAACCAGATGTTCCAGCTTGGGCGCCATTTGACAAACCCAAAGTCCTTGACCGTCGAATGAAGCTGTTTGGTGCGAAAACGGGCAGTTTGGGCACTAATGGAGGTTGCACATCCGAATTTCCTTCCAGTTTTGGTGCAATGGTAAAGGTAAAGAGCTGTGGTGCCGATTTACGACGCACTGCATCTGGCACGGAAGCAGCTTGAAGATTATTCTGCGGAATCTGCGATTTCTGGCGAAGGGAAATCTTGGCCGAGCTCAGTTTTAACAAGAGTTTTCCCTGGCCACCATTGGATGGTAGAACTGGTGGAGGCGACGCTGTCGGAGCCACCGCTTCCAATTCCCCCTGGATACGTTCATAGTCGATTAGCTGGTTACTCTTGCTTCCGATGCTCGTTTTCCGCTTGAAAACGATTTTTGAGTTGTTGGCCCTGCTCATGTCTCCAGATTATGCAATTGCAATCCTACAGCTCTGACCACGGATTTGAGGCAATCTGGAGCACTACGAGTGTTCCCGTTGCAATTGAGACCGAGACTGAGACTGGGTCTCGGACTTGGTTGCTGCCTAATCCAATTACATTTCGCAATTGAAACTCACGGTGCCGTACCAATGGAGAGGTGGCAAAAGTCTGACACTGACAATTGTGCAATTGTCTGTTGTGGTTTCTCATTCTAAATAATTCTCTCATGAAGACTTGACACTGGCTATTGATTGACTATTTTCCGATTTGACCGAATGCAAAACTGTGTAATAACAAAGGTCTTCAAATGGTTGACCGAAATTTCGGTTAATATAATTCTTACTAAGAAATAATCTCTCAACATCTTAAACTTTTATTTCACGACAGCAGGAAAAAAGAACCCAGAGTTGAATATAACATCCTAAGGTTGACAGTTTTATCTACCGGATTGGATTTATAATTTATTTATTGAGTATCCAATAATATCGCGAAATATAGAAGGGGTCCTTCGTTGCCTTGGGTCTGATAACAGATATATATATTTTTTTTAATTGAATTTGTATGTACTTTGTCATACATATGTATCAAAAAGACTTTTTATTAAGAAATATGAAATTAAAATTTTTGACAGCTGTAACAGCCACAAATTCACGTTTCTTTATTATCGATGCTTACATGATTTTGAATGATGTGGAAGTATAAATATAAATACTAATTTCTTTCAAATGCATCAGTCAACGCATAAGTATCTTTATTAACTCTGTTAGCTGATCGAATGGTCAAGTTAACCACTCGCATTGACATAATACAAGATTACAAAAGTCATGGGAAGCTTTCTCTCCTAATCTCACTCTCCCACCTGGTACTCTCGCCAAAACCCACAATTACTCTCTCTTTCACTCTCTCTACCCAACCCACTGGCACACTAAATGGGTAGGAGAGGGAGCTTTCTGTTATTAGAATATAGGGGTATATTATATTTGTTATAATGTAGGTGACTAAGAGACCACATTTAGCATATGAATTATTGATTTAAAAAAGTATGTATCGATATCATTGCATTCGCATATTTATACAGACTATGTAAATAAATCCGGTTTCCAAATAGTACGAGTATCTTTTATCTTATTGGGTAATGGGTAAAGGACAGTCGAACAACTCGATGTTGTATTCCTACTTGTTTTTAGTCAAGCAGCTGGCCCAGTGGCTCTTATTTTCGATTCGCTCGTACACATCAGTTGCAGTTCGGAAGCGGAATCGGTTGATGTTGTTGCGTTGCTTCGGTTCGGACGTGGAATATTTCGCTTTTGAAAGAACCGACACAGAATAGACCCATAAAACTTTCCTTTCACTCTTGCTTTCCGCACCTCGATTTACATTTCCGAGTATTGTTGTTATGCTCAGACTGTGTTGTGTGTTTGGCGTAATTAATTAACAATTATAAAACCAATTCAACAAAATCCGTTGAACCTTTGTGCTACAGGACAATTTCCATTACGTTTGGTGGATTTGTTGGTAGTTTGCTGTTGCTGGCCGTTTATTGTGTTTTGCTTTTCGTGTTGATTTTCGTGGGGGACGCACCATTTTCCGTTTGGTTTGCTGCTCCAGTTCTGGGAACCACCCCCACCATCGTTTTTGCCGGTCTTTAGCAATATGGAGTCGGTACGTATTCGCACCATTCGCCGGTCCCAAATATTCAAAGCTATTTATGAGCTGAAGAGCGGGGGACCCGGCATCTGTGTTACAAAGTCCAAGTCCAGGGCGATAATACCGCTCGAGATATTGCGTAAAAGGTTAAAGTCTCTTCTCGCCGAACTGAGATTTGATCGGTTTTGATTGATCCTGGCGTAAGATTGCCCAGGCAATGAACTGAAATCACAAAGGAAATAGTATAATGTTAATATTGTTTTTGATTGCAAAATATGTTAAATAAACAAAACAGGGTTAAATCCTATAGCCTATTGAGATTGGCCAGACCGTTTTGATATGATATTTTATGAATAATAAGCAGACAGTTGCTGATAAGAACTGATTCCAATGACTCCACATGGAGAATTTGGATTTCGGATTTAGACCTTAGTCGTTTTTATTTAAAATAATCAGATTTAAGCGGAACATTATGATAGGGCAATGAACGAAAAATTTAACTGAGATAAAATGTATATAGGGGTAATAAATGTATGTATAAACGAGCCGGGATAATTATTATTAGCATGGAATTTAAAAGTTTTAATACTTTGATAATACTGTATGTGGTCTGGAACAGTCTGTTGCCCTATTTGAGATTATCTAATTTTTTATAACCCACCGAGATAACGTAAAGCAATTACAATTTAATGCCCATAATCCCAGTCGTGCAAATCATTATAAGGTTTTTAAGCTGACTTCGCGCACTTGTTCACACAGAAAAAATAAATAAATTTTGAGAATCTTAGTACCAGCTGATATTAAATAACAAGACCTTTAATACACATGCATAAGATCATTGCAACCATAATTAAAGTATTTTTTTCAACAGGTAGCCAAGAAAGGCATGGAATCCTACAGGTTCGGCAGTGTGGACTATATAGTTTTTTTGGGCATGATCGTATTATCTACCGGCACTGGCATCTATTTCGGGTGCATCAAGTGAGTGACCTTCAATAGCACGGACCATTGCCAAACATTTGTGTTAATTACAGGAAAAGCAAGAAGAAGCTCGAGGAGGCGGAACCAACTTTACCGACCACAATGCCAGAAAGGCGAAAAAACGATTTCGGATCGGAGAAGATGAGCGAGTACCTGCTTGGGTCACGCAATCTAAAAGTTTTTCCCGTTGCCATGAGTCTAATAGCCAGGTACTGTTGATGATATTACACCCCCTGAGCATCCCTGTAATCTTTACCCTTTTATTTCCAGCTATATATCGGGCGTTACGATACTGGGAACTACCTCTGAAATCTACAATTATGGCACGCAATATTGGTTTATAGCCATTGCAATCGTACTCCAAGGCATTGCCGTCTCCTATGTCTACATACCCGTATTCTCGGCTCTTCAAGTAGGCTCTTCCTATGAGGTACGACATTCGTAATTACTAGAAACTGATTTATTAATTTACAGTCTAATGACTCGGGGAGCTTATGGTTAAAGTAAGATTATTTTTGATGGAAATATTTAATTTATAATTCTTTTATTAAAGTTCAACCATTTTTACGATTTCATTTCAATAGAAGGAAACTCTTTATAAAAACTTAGTCATGTATAGAGAAACTAATTATGATAAGAAAACTTTCCAAAAACTAAAAACTTCAAAGTTTGGCATATGAAAATTGCATTGTGTTCGTTGATAAGTATGATATAAGTTGTTTCCGTCTTCCCCTTTTACTCTTTTATTTATTTGCAATCAATTAAGGGAAAACTTAGTGAGCATTTTAATTAACTGAGAGTCGGAGACCACCCTCCTCAAGTGGAATTTCTTGGACTTTGCTCTCGCCCACTTGTTGCGACGCTTTTTCTGTGTCTCCATGGTTCCGATATGATTAATTGCAAAGTATTCTGCTGCCACTTGACAATTGTGTTCAAGCAATTAGATTGCTTGAAAAAAAGTCCAAATGACGTTAGCTTTAGTGCCAGCAATTATTACTAACTAATCTTACAAGCAAATTATTTCGAAGATTAAAGACATCTTTACTTTCAGTACTTGGAGATGCGTTTTCATTCGGTCATACGAAGCATAGCTTCTTTTATGTTTATATTGGATGAGGTAAGTCAAAGTTCAAATTCACAAATATTTATTTGAGAAATCATTGATCTGATTTCAGATATTGTTTCTGCCTTTTATTGTGTATGTTCCAGCTATAGCTCTGAATCAGGGTAAGCGATAATTGTTATTTCTTTCAAACACTTCTCTAATCTTTTGCTAATCTTGCAGTTTCTGGCATTAATCTCCATGTGGTTGCCGTGGTAATTGTGGTCGTTTGTGTTTTCTACACCTTTGTGGTAAATTTTAAAGGAATGATTAAAATTGAACTATTAAATTCAATTATATATATTTCCAGGGAGGGATTAAGGCAGTGGTCCACACAGATGCCTGGCAGGTGCTGGTGATGTTTCTTTCCGTTCTTGCAGTGGCGATATTGGCAACTGTTTATGCTAACGGCTTAAATGTTCTTTTTGACGATGCCGCCAAGGGCGGTCGATTGATTTTTAGCAACACAAACCCCTCGCCATATGTTCGTCATACTGTTTGGAGCGTTCTCATCGGGGGATTTTCTTACTGGACATCTTTTAATGCCGTCAATCAGACCATGGTGCAGCGATATATGTCTCTTCCCTCGCTAAAAAAAGCCCGAGCTTCCATGGCTATTTTCACAATTGGAGTGGCTGCCTTTGTCTCAGTTTGTTGTTATGTGGGTCTGCTAATCTTTGAGATGTACAAGGATTGTGATCCTCTGAGTGCTGGACTAATTACGGTGAGTTAATGATTATTAGCTATTAATCTTTACTTACTTTTATTCCATTTCAGCACGACGATCAGCTTCTGCCGCTCTTTGTGGTCCAGAGTGTCGGTCACATCTATGGAATGTCTGGTTTGTTTATAGCTGGGATATTCGGAGCTGCCTTGAGTTCTCTGTCCGTAGTACTTAATTCCACTTCCTTGGTGATCCTGGAGGATATAGTTCGCGGCTGCTTCAAGATGCAACCAAGTGAAAGAGCCTCCACAATTTTGGTCAAGTCAACTATTATAGTTCTTGGTATAGTGGCCCTCTCACTGGTGTTTGTCCTGGAACAACTGAGTGGAATTCTGAGCATTTGCACTTCAATGACGGCCATCGCAGCTGGAACCACTTTTGGCTTGTTTACCCTGGGAATGCTTGTTCCCTGGGCCAATACTGTGGGCACTGCTGTGGGCGGAATTGCCAGTGCTTTGCTCGCCGGATGGATATCCTTTGGAACGCAGTTTACCATTGCAGCGGGAGAATTGAATTCTCAAAAGCTACCCGTATCGGTAGAAGGATGTGTGGGTAATGTAACCCTTCGGGAAAACTTATGGGTGGATGAGGAGCAAGTTTTCCCACTGTACCGACTGTCCTACCACTGGATAAACCCCATTGGTGTGGTCACAGTCATCGTTGTGGGTGCACTGGTCTCCCTTGTGACCAAGCCAACGAATATCAAGACTCTGGATCCCGATCTTATATCGCCAGTGATTCATAGGTACATATACAGATTGCATTGTAATCATATTTTTAAATACTTATATCGAATCTATTTCTTCTATTAGATTTCTCCCTAAAGAGTGCTTCAACGGTCGGAATCTTAATGCGCAGGCGCACAAAAACCTTCTGAACGTATCCTAAAATAGACAAGCCATAATATCCTGTGCCAAAATTATTGGAGAAATCGAGCTCCTATACCTGTGGCATTGTATTCCTCATACATTTCTTGTTGGCCTAGTTCGTAGTTGTAGTTGATTTATGGTAGTTACCTTAAAAATAGCCTAGTCTAGTACAATGCGATCCAACTATTGGATTGAAAAACACAAACCGAAGTACAGGAACCTATGAATCTGCATCTCCAACTCCAGAGTGCTCAATCATTAGCGTAGTGTAATTATTGTATTATAATATAGCTTTATTTAATTGGTTTGTTCGTATCTGTTCTTCACTTTCCAGCTTATGTTCAAGCATTATTCTTTGGCATTTTCGTTTTGTAGTCAGCAGACTGTGTCTCATTATGAATTCCGTGTGACTTTACAAGCATAATGTCTGTGATAAATTCAATAAATAAATCATACACACTGTCCGAATTGTTTACACCTAGAATATAGTTAAGCAATTGCAAAGCAGCAGGAATGATATGACCACTGTTTGGATCTGGGATCTGAGTCTGGAATGTAGCTGTATCTAGTCTAAACTAAGCCCCAATCAGGCGTAAATCACAAAAGAGGATGCGCCTTGTAAAGGCTCGCTCGTACATACAACTAATTGACCTTCCGATGATCAGCGGCTGAGGACTGTCTTCTGCTTTGGATGCACTTGCGCAGTTGGAATGCGATGACAATTAGGCAGAGCATACCAGCACTCAGGTAGCTGTTAAATACAAATTGCTGCGGCAGCATTTTGCACTTGGAAACAACATAGTCGTCGGGAGTGATGGTGGCCTAAAAACAGATAATTATTAGTAAAAGTTCAAAGTGTTTGCAATCATAAGAAAGCGAAAATAATACCCACCAGCATAAAGCTGGGATTGACTTTGTTCCGCCAGCTAAAAGAGGCCACCGTATACTCATCAATGCCCAGCCGATTGACGCTGTGGCAAAAGTGATGTGAATGGCCCGCAAACGCCAATCTAGGCTTTAGTAGTTTTCCCAGCTTATCCGTGGCATCCTTGGAGAGCACGTGAAAACGTTCGCGAAAAGTCTCGATGTAAGGAGCATCGTGCTCCTCGCACATGGTATCTGAAATTCGGTATGTGGGGAAGTGCTGCAGTAGGATCGGCTGGCTATAAGGATGCCGCCTGGTCCGGGCGCACTCCGCCTCCAGTGGATACTTCATGCAGTGCAGTGTCCGCGAGATATTCTTTAGCTCATCCTCGGCCTGGGTGCAAAACATGCAGCCATCAGCCTCCATTGCCATTGAGTTTATTACCACGAAATGGATCTGTTTGATGGTGTACAGGTTCACCGAGGAGTTATTTAGATAGCTCTCGAAACGCGACATAAAGAATGGATGCATCCTGGAAGACACATTGACATTTATTAATTAGGAAAATTAAGAGTTTGTGTAGTTACATCGTTGATCTACTAACTTGTAGTGGAAGCCCACGTCGTGGTTTCCGGCGACGCTGATGAGCGGAATACCCGGCGGTAAGTGGAACATCTTTAGGTAGCGCCACACATACTCCTGGAACTGTTTGTCGCTCACCATGTCGCCCTCATCAAACAAGTCCCCCAGGACGAAGACCACATCCGGTTGAAACAACCGGGATGCCGCCTGGAAGGCGCGTGTCATGTGCCACTCCCGGTACAGCTTGTCCAGCCAGTGCCCACGATGCGGTCCCAGGAGATGGGGATCCGCCAGTATCATCGCTCTTAGCGGATCGTCCACATACTTCTTGCGCTTAATCTCCGGCCACTTGCACTTCTGCAGCACCACAAAGTCCGCCACGTATTCACAGAAGATCAAAGCACACAGCACGATCACAAAGCAGGCGTATAGAAATCGCATCTTTTGTTTATAAACCGGCTTAAAAAAATAATAACAAATTCAGCTCAAAAATAATAGAGAATCATCCGATAACCATTTTCGCCCAGCGACACTCGATAACCTTGTCAGTGTTGTCCAGCACTGGTAGGTCGGATTACCAGGGCTTAGAAGGTGGGCGCGCAATTCAAAAATATTTTTACAAACATATTTTTGGGACTGCAATCTATTTAAGATCAGTCCGAATTCGCTAACAAAATTTTAATTTGCAATGTGCAATTAGTACAAGAATAACTTTTATAAGAAAAAAATATTGTTTTTCATGGTGTAACTTAGTTCATTAACATATGTAGTATTAGTCCAAAGTAAATTAATAGTTTTATGGGTAAGAAGCGCATTATCTAAAATAGCGGACATTTATTCTGAATATTTTTATGCTTTGCATGCTGCTTATTAGCTAACTAAAAGAGATCATAGAAATAGTTCAGTCCCTGCCCAAGTTCCCAAATGGAAATGCCAGTACCCAACTCCTGGGCCAGCTTTATTCGCTCGTTAATTGAGTAGAGAGTGGGATAAAATACAATGTGACGCCCGTCTTGGTTTCTAAAAATTTCCAAAAATAAATAACTCCGTCTTGAACGTGTTTAAAAAGAAACTCACTTGATTTCAAAGAAATTCTCAACATCCCGCTCATCGTAAGTCAAATGCTTCTTCACATGCCTCACCAAATCCAAGTACTGGGAGAAGGTGATAGGTCCGCCGCCATCGGGTGTGTAATCATTGCCGTACATGTTAAGACCCATCAGAATTTTGGCACGCTTTGCCGCCATATCGGTACATCCTTCGGGGGCAATTGTTTCCACAGCCTTGCGTACGAAATAGAGGGGTGCATTCGCTCCAGGTCGCTGTACGCTGGAGAAATCGTAAGTCATTAGCGAGAAGGCGAATATGTGCTTGTAAAGCTTGTCCATGTGCTTCTCCCCGAAAAGATTGCCCGTGTCCTTGCGAAATGGAGGTATGACTAGGATGAGGCGCAACTGCTGCTTCTGTAGTTCTTTAGCTAAAATCAAACGGAATAATTTAATTAATATTTTTCCAGAATGTTACTTAGTTAGTGTTCATGGTCCTGTTAGTTTTAGAATATACAAAAAGATTGAAAAACTAAATGTAATTTAAAATGCAAATGAGTTTTAAATATGAAGGGCAATCATTGCAAAACCCACCCATTTGCAGAACCAGTGCAAAAAGGATTTTGTCATCTATGCGCCCAGCCAGCTGGGACCACACTTCCAGGACCAGACCATCGAAGCCATTGTCCTTGCAGCACTTAATCAGGGCATCGTTCACTTTCGTCCTTTCCCTGGCATCGCTAAGCAGTAGCTTAATATCCCGATCGGTGAAGTGGTCGAATATGAAGCGGGGGAAGACTGAAATTTAGGGGGCGTTAGTATGAGATTACAAAAATGTTAAGCATATACGGCAGTACCCTTCACGGTGCGCTGATTGTGGGCCTGCTTTCCCTTTCTCCGGACATCGCTCACCCAGCCCGCATCGATGTCATGCGTTCCTGCCACGGAATAGCGATCTTCCTGCTTCACAATCTGCAGCCAAACCGGGGAGATGATGTCGAACTTCTTGGCAAAGATCTTGGCCACATCATAGCCATGGGAGTTCCACTACACGTAAAGTAAACAATGTAATTACTATGCATACACAAAAAGTGGGAGTACCCACTGGGGTCACATAGCCCAAGGTGGTGCCATTGAATCGCCTCAGTCCCGACTCCTTAAAGTAGCCTCTGTGGTTGGCCACGATGTCCTTGGCCAAGGGTTCGGGATTTACCAATCCCAGATCGAAAACATCGCTGTCTTGAGGTCCGCCACGCAGCGAACTTTCCTTGTGTTTGCTTTTTGGTTTATGGCTGTCCGGGGCGAGGGTACCGTGGACGGAGGTCAGCACGAGAAACAGGATAGCGAGGAGGTACACGAGCGCATCAGGCGCACGCATTTTGACAGGAGGAAAATCAGGACAACCGCATAAATAGCACAAAAACAAATTGCATACAACAAGAAAGCCGGTAGCAGTGTGACCATAGCGAAGTAAACTGAAACTTATCGGCGAGGGTGTCACAGCCTAAAAAAAGGGTATCGAACTTTTAAAATTTCTAGCCAAAATCAATGAAGTACTGGTTTTGTTTTATATACTGGGATTTCTTTTTGATTATTTTATGGAACAATTATTAGTCATATCCTTTTTGGGTTTCCAATTTTAAATTCTTTATTCGAATTCGATTTGTTACACTGATTTAACTGGTTTGATTTGAATAGCCCGCCCTAAACCTATCGAAAAGCCTTGCATCGCCAATATAAAACCCCTAGCGTTGCCAGATAACAGTGAAAAGCTGCTCTTGTGGAAAACAGCTGTTAGAAGCATTTGACTTTTTTTTGACTTTGATACATTTTCTTAAGCGCAATTTAAGCGCAACGACCAAACAATGCGTAATGTGCCGAAATCGTAAGTGATAAAACATTAAAAATGCAGAAATAAAAGAATATTCAACTCTCCATCCGGCAGTCTCGGTCTCTCGGTCACAACCCCAGGCGGAAGTTCGGGGGCTCCGGACAGCGGACGCCACAACAGCTTGGAGGACATTAATTTGGACCAGTTCCTGAAGACGTCCAACTACGAGGACACGGTGAAGCAGCTGGACATCTACTATGGCATCGGTGAGGATTTATATAACCTTGGAGCTGTCTGTAGGGCGGCCAATTGAGAACCAATTAAAGGCGTCTATTAATAATCATCGCGAAATGTCGACGCCCCAAGCTTGATTGTAAACAGACTCGTTTGTTTATTTGCAATGCCAATCAAGAGGCGATAACCGCGAGTTCTAACACTTTCTCTTCCCGCAGTGAAGCGTCAGTTGCTGCGCTACCAGAGCCCCATCACCGGGCTGTTCCCCGTGATGAGCACTGACCAGGTTGTGGGATCCGTCCGGGATAGCGTCTACTGCGCCTCCGCCGTCTGGAGCTTGTACCAGGCATATCGTCGCATCGACGATGACCGAGGAAAGTCCTACGAACTGGGCCAGAGCACCGTAAAGTGCATGCGCGGCATCCTAGAGTGCTGGGTCAAACAGGCGTCGCGAGTGGAGCTCTTCAAGCAGCGTCAGTCCAATCAGCACGCTCTGCACAGCAAGTTTCAGCTGCACACCGGCGAAAAGATATATCCGGATGAGTTCTACAACCACCTGCAGATCGATTGCGTGAGTGGAGGCGTGTTTCTGATCGAAATGTACCTAAAACAGTGATTTCCCCCTCTTAGGTATCTCTCTATCTGCTGTTCCTCGTCCAGATGATAACCTCTGGCCTACAGATCATCTACACCCACGACGAGGTGGCTTTTGTCCAGAATCTGGTGTACTATGTGGAGCGAGCCTACCGAACGCCTGACTTTGGCATGTGGGAGCGTGGATCGAAGTATAACAATGGTACCCCGGAGATCCATGCCTCGTCCATTGGAATGGCCAAGTCCGCCTTGGAGGCCATCAATGGCTGCAACCTGTTTGGCGAGAAAGGAGCTTCGTGGAGTGTTGTCTATGTGGACATTGATGCTCACAACCGCAATCGCAGTATTTTCGAAACCATGCTGCCCAGGGAATCTAGCTCAAAGGTGGGTTATTATTTATTTAGTAATTCGAATAAAGTAATTTGGCTCACCGCTTTTTCAGGGTGTGGATGCTTCACTGCTGCTCACGCTTTCCTTCCCAGCCTTTGCCTCGCATGAAGACCGCCTGGTGGAGCAGACCAAGCAAAATGTAGTAAATCGTTTGCGCTGCAAAATGGGCTTCAAACGTTTTACCCGCGATGGCTTTCTCAGCAAAAACGAGGACAAATCACGTCGCTATTATCACTCTGGGGAGTTAAAGGAATTCGAAGGCCTGGAATGCGAATGGCCGCTCTTTTTCATAGCCATGATCATCGATGGCGTATTTAAGAACAACAATGAACAGATCGAAGAGTTTCAGAACGATCTGCGGCGCTGTTTGCGTACCGATGTCAACGGAGATCCCGTGGTAACGATGTACTATGCCCCGGACGGAGATGGTTCCTACATGCGTGCTCCATCGCAGTCGTTATTCCTCTGGGGACAATCCTTCTTCATCATTGCTCAACTGCTGACCGCAGGACTGTTGCATATCAACGAATTGGATCCAATTCGGCGCTATTTGCCAAGCTATAATCGCCCCAGAAGGGCTGGTCGGTATTCGGCTTTCCAGGTGAGTTCAAATCAGGATATGTAGGGTGTTTAACGCTATGAAGTGGTGACTGTAATATATAGTTAAAGGACAAGCTTTCCAATTTTATCTTTTTCATTGAAGTCAAGAAAATCCATCATAAATCAGACAAAAGAACTCAAACTTAAACAGTTTAAATACTTCGCATAAATTAAACAAAATTTTACTGGTGATTGAAAACACATTTCATAGCGTAAGGTTTATAAAAGGTTTTCGACTTGCCTATTTGGGAGTCTCCGCTTCTGCTGCCCGCTGCCGCTGATGAGTTTTGTGTGTCTGCCGTGTGTGTCTACGTTCGCTCCCAATTGGAATCTTTTACACATAAGTTCTGTTTTGTTGCCTAAGTACTTTGTATGGGTTAAGTGAATAATTGGCTCTTGATATTTAATTCTATCTACATTCTGTTCATTCTCTACTACCAACCACTACCACATTCTACTGCTACCACACATCTATATATCCAAAATGAACAAAATCAAAACGTTCATAAAAAACCCAAATTGTAAAATAATTGGTTTCGTAATAACAGGGCAAAGCTATTGATGAAAAACACAAAGTAAGTAGATGTCCTGCTATATCAAAATAAATATTGAAAATCTAAATTCAAAATTATATAGACGCTAAATTATACGTATGTGTACAAACTAAATTATGCTTTTTAGACCACAGACACATTCGCACCAAAGATCACCTAGTTAACTTATTGTGGCTTTTTCATGTTCGGCAAGACACACTGATCGAAAAGATTTAACTATGACACACTTAACGATCAAAACACACACCTACACTATAGAAATGATTTTTTGCTTATTTTCAGTATAAATTATTATTTCTGTATTCCCGTTTTATTTGTATATAGTGAACAAATTCTTTTTTGGTATCTAAATCAAAAGTTTTCTCTTTACTCTTTTCGGTTTTCTTTCCTCTCTATATACCTATCAATATACTGCATATTTTGTTTAAAAATCAACATAAACACACGCTCTATAGGCTAAACCGGGCACTGTAAGTAATTTGTCACCAGACGTTTGGGTTTATTTACGTAGTTTGCAGTTCCTAATTCATGTAATTAACCAAAAGCCATAGAACAATCAAGCTTGATTTGGCTTGATGATGTTACAAAGGTGTTAACAATGGGAATTGGCTTTTAAATATTCAAAAAATGATCACGCCTCCCAATTCGCAAAGCATTCTTAGTTAAAAATGTTATCGGGGCAGTGCTTGAAAATGAAATGCCAAAAGACAGCAGCTTTGCTTGAGCCCTTAGAAAATGTTTAATACTAATTAATCGCTATTGCTAAATACCCATATGTTCCTCTACTAAATTCCATACTATGTAAAAAGAAACCACGCATACCTATTATATTGGATGACAAAAAGGTAATTTGTGGTTGAACTTTTGGGCCTGGGCTGGGTCTTCTAATTTGATTAGGGCAAAAATCGGCATAGATTATTTAAAATTAAATTTCCCATAAAGAGTAAAATTAACCACATAAAATTAGCACTTAATCACGTATTAAATATCTGGATTATCTTCGATTATTCAGAAGGGTTTTTAATGTTTTCTAAATTCTTTTGTAAAATTCGTGTTTGGCTTCATCGCCATCTAATATATGTTTGGCATGTTAAAATCCTACTTTTACTTATATTCTCCTATATCCCACACTCTTAACTCTCTGCTAGTACTTCTCCTGATCCTTTCCCACTATATATTCCCTTTTGTGTGTTTTTGCATTTTGGCATTCGGCTAGTCAAAATTTTCTTGTCATGTGATTAAAATCCAAGAATCTTGAATTGGCCTCATGCATCCTAACATTTTTAATCCACCAACTAAGAAAGTTGTACGTATTGTAATAATGTTTTGATAATCCTTACAGGGAACTGCCACTGATCTTGTAGTGCAGATTGTCCTGATTGCCGAGTCCATGAGACTGCAGGCCATGATGGCCACTTATGGCATCCAAACACAGACGCCACATGAGGTAAGTCATGATCCGAATAACTCTTATTTTGCAATAATAACCATTTTTCTATAACCAGGTGGAACCTGTGCAAATTTGGAGTTCCACGGAGCTCATCAAAGTCTATCAACATCTTGGAGTCAACAATAAGGTTGGCTTGTCCGGACGTCCATCGAGACCGGTGGGATCCTTGGGCACCAGCAAGGTGTATCGCATCTGCGGCATGACCGTTCTTTGCTACCCACTGATCTTCGAGGTCTCCGATTTTTATCTCTACCGGGATATGGCACTGCTAATCGATGACATCAAGACGGAGCTGCAGTTTGTGGGCAAATATTGGCGCTTGTCGGGCAGACCCACAGTGTGCCTGCTGATCCGGGAGGAGCACATGCGAGATCCGCAGTTCAAGGAGATGCTCGACTTGCTGGCTATGCTCAAGAAGGGCTACTGCGATGGCATGAAAGTGCGAATCGGTCGTCTGCAGAATCTCATTAGCAGCTCTTGCATCGAGCATCTGGATTTCATGAACCAGAGCGATCTGACCGATAACGAGAATGCATTCTCGCAGATAAACCATGAGTATATTGGCTACCAATCCCTGACAGATGTGCCCAAAGCATTGACTTACGTGGAGGAGAAGATTTCCGTTGCGGTTAGTAATTCTAAAAACATTAAACTACGAGATGCCTTATTCCTTAATATATATTCCAGCACTTTGATACCAAACCCACGCCGGATATCATTAATGCACTCCGCAACACCGATTCCATTTACTGCTTGTGCCAACTATGGGGTATTATTCTCAACCGCGAGGGTCCACACTTCGAGGTGAACGGTCTTAATGTGAATACGGCTTTGACTCAGCTGTACCATCGCGCTGGTTCCCTGCGCTACTGGCGGGCCGTGCGCTACTGCTCATCTCTTCTCCACCACATTGTTGACTCCATCAGTCCATTTATTACCACCGTGCTGGTTAATGGCAAGGAACTCACCGTGGGCATCATTGGCCAGAAGGAGACGGTATTCGACAAGCCCATGACGCCGGCGGAGATTCAAAATGTTATGTACACAAGTGTCCAGCCATACGACGTGATCCAGGCGGTGCTGCAGCAGGAAGTGGTACTGTATTGTGGCCGCTTGATAGCTACGAATCCATCCATGTTCCGTGGTATACTGAAAATTCGCATTGGCTGGGTGCTGGAGGCTATGCGAATCTATTTGAAAATCTCAGGTCAGCAGAGCATTGATGTAGACAATCTCTCGCCCTTCCAAGTCCGCATACTTCTTCAAAAAGTTCTAACCGTCAGCGAGTGGGCTGTAGAGGAAAAGTAAGTCGAAAGATATTAAGTTATTGTGATACTAATAAATAAATGTCTTTTGAATAGGCTTACTACCCTCCAACGCCGACAACTGGAAGGCTGCTTGTGCCGCGTGCCAAAACATTTCTACAACAAAATCTGGGAGATCCTCCAGCGAACCCCTCAGGGAATTTTAACCCAGGGTCACCACTTGCCCGCCACGCCCACACTAACTAACATGAGCCGCGGCGAGTTGACCTTTAATCTGCTGGTGGAGGAGACTCTGATTTGCATTGACCGACCGGAAAGGCGTCAAATAACCGTGGAGCTGTTGTGCATTGTGGCAACCATTCTTAATCGGTAAGTTTTTAAGAAAATGTTAAATTATAATTATCTAAAAACAAGATCTTTAGAAGGTTATAAAAGTTTTTAGAAATAGTAATTTTAAAATTATTTATAAGAATTTATCTTTAAGCGAGTATTTAATGTTTGTTGTCCCTAGCAATCCGGAGCTGCACTTTAAACAAGCTCTTGATTTGGACGGCATCTTGGCTGAGGCGTTTGCCATGTACTGCAAGGACAACAATATACAGCATCAGCCGGAGCCGCAGCCACAGCAGACCAAAAAAGAGGATCTCAAGGCATTCTATTCGCTGCCATATTCGGAGACCACGGGCTACTTGGCTCGCGCCGCAGTCAACAAGGTTTTGCAGGGTGGCATCTTCTCCACCACCGAGGAGGACGTTCAGCTCGATGGAGATCGTTTGCATGACGACAACTGCAAGGTGTCTTAAGCGGAGAGACCCCGACAATAGATTATGTACATAGCACAGTTTGGCATATCTTCGTTGCACTGACCCACCACTAGCTCGAATTTTGTAGCTATTTTATTCTGTTATTCTTATTCAACTTGTCTCTCTCTGTGTCTCTCGCCGTTCGCCTAGATCTTAATTAAATGTTATGTATATTTTGTTGCAATAATCGAAGGTGTTACATGGCCGAGTGTTTGATTAGTTAATAGGTCAATAGCACTGGGGGTGGAAACCCAAGCAACTGAGCCCTAACCTCGCTTAATGCAAGCCGTATTGATTTTCGCCCCCACTTATGTCACCCAAGCGTGGCTTTAAAAGCTCTTGGCCGATTCCCCACTCGGTTTACTTGACCAGCAGTCGTCGCACTTGAACAACATGCGCGCTCCCGAGTGGATCAGCACAGAGATGGCGCGCCTCACTTCGAGACTGGAACGCTACAAGCCAACGGGCAGTGGCTACAACCGTATCCAGTCGATCCGCCTGTCCAAGAGCGTTACCCAAATGCTGAACAATCCAATGCCCCCGGCACCAGCCGCTGCCACCGCCCGAACGCAGCAGGAGAGCTCCTTTACAACGCCGCGTCGGCGCGGTGTCCTTAGTCGCAGTGAATCCGAGTGGGAGGAGGTGTATCCTGCCGTCAAGTTCAGTCGCCAGGAGAGTAGCGAAAGTGCCACCAGTGAGGACAGTGAGATGCGATTTACCCACTATAGAAATTGTGCCACGCGAATTCCCTGAATAGGGGTAATATCTTCTATCTACTCTGCAATATTTGTAAACTTTTATCTGTGTTAAGTAAAAAATAAAACAACAAATAACCTCTAAAAATAACATACGTTTCAAATTAGTTATTGAAAGGTGTTTTGCTTGGCCGTTCTAGTTAATTGGATTGAATGGGAAAGAGTGTTTGCTTAAAAAATTATAAATTTGAATTCATTAATCAATAAAATCAAATCTATAGATTACTTTTGTTACTTTGTAGAACTCTACAAGGATATTTAGTTAATCTCAAATGCTCAAATGTTTGCACAAGATTTCGAATTTTCCATGTCATGTGAAAAAAGTACAGCCTCTGTAAAAGATTTAATGATCAAATTAGTTACATTTATAAAAACAAGCAATACATTATTTATGACAATCAATTTCGATTCTTTATTTTAGTTCGTAAGTATTCCACGTAGTTATTAAGCTTATTTCGGAAATTAAACGCTAAAAAAATAGGTACATATTTATGTTTTAAGTTGTTCGGTTCTTTGTATAAAAATTCATTCATTTCTAAATTTATCAATTTAATTTCGATTCGATACATATAAAATAGAACATACAGATGTTTGTTGGCATTTACTAATTTAAAGAGATTGCATATGGGAGATATTAGTGTAGTTGATCAATTTTCGTTCAAAGCCAACACATTTAAGCATTATACATCTTAAATTTTGATATGAATTTGCCTAGAAAATAGTTGCTCAAGCAAATGATATTTGCATCTAATACAAAAATATGTCACTTGATATGCCTATAACTAAAGTCAACGCTCTATATATATGCAACATATCGATTTAGTTTTATAACAAACAGTATAACATATACCTAATATCTTTAATCAGTTTTGTAAAGGGCACACACAGGCAAATAGCATATAAATATGTATGCGATTCGAAGCTAATTGGTTAATTTTTCATGATATTATTTTCGTATAAATATAAAACATTAATTATCTAGGTGTTATAGTTATTACCTATTAACTCGGATGCTTTAGGTTAGTTGTTATATTTAAGGTTTCTGTAAAATGCTAAATTCCCTGAATATGAGTTTTCATCATTATTATTAGTTTTTCCGCACTTAATCTTCAATTTTTACACATATTAAGAAGTAACTTATTTAAATTATTAGCTTGTTTGGGCAATTATAATTAACTAGTATATTCATTCGTTTAATCTAACAAACTGCAACACTTTTTGCTTACTTAGGTCTAAATACACAGTTTCACACAAGGGCAGTACTTTTGACAAAAAATCGAACGAACTGTAAACTGTATAAATGGGTGATGTGTACTTTGTGTTTCTGATTTGTGTTTTTTCCCTTCATATAAAAATGTTTAAAAAAGACTATGAAACCTACGCAATACGTACTAAATACGTAAACAAACACTAAATTACTTAAGCGTTTGGGTTAGGCCTATGTTATTGTAGTTGCTGCTGCTGCAGCTGCTCGGGCCGGCGCACGCTCATTCGGCTGGGGATCGAGTCGGTGTCGCCGTCATCATCCACGTACTCCTCCTTGGGACGCGTCCACTTGATTAACGTCTCGGGCGATCGGTACAGGAAGAGTAATTTGGCAAACAGATCTTCCTCCAAGGCAAATTCCAAAGCCTCGCGTACCTTAGAATTGAATTAGAATATGAGTAACAACCCTGATTCAAAACCATATTTTATTAATTACCAGATAAATATCCAGGCAAAGTTGCAGTACTCTATCAACGTAAGGCAGATCCTCGAACATAATCTTTCGGTTCTGACCGCCAATGAAGGACTTCATGAAGCGCGAGGCCAATAACACAAAGGTGGTGTACAAGCCAATAATGCTGTTAGGATAAATATAACACTTAGATCTTTAATTCCTGCTGAATCTCCGGCTTACTCACCCTCCCGCTGTGAGGAAACTGAACGTCGATGGGAACTTCTTATCGTTGAATGTGTACATCACTATACCGGATGTGCAGTTACTGTAGGCAAACTTGGAGAGCGTTTCGTTGTAGAAGGTATCGTCGCAGAAGTCCCGTATCTCCCACCACAAGCCATTGGTTTCTTTGTCTCGATGCATTTTGATCACCAGCGGTCGGTATTCGTGGTGTTTTTCGCTCAGCACACTGACGACGGCGGCGTCTCCCGAATTGAGTACCTTGATAAACTTGGGTATCATGCCGGGAATCACAACTACTTCTTCGACTTTGGGAGTGCTAGTGATAGTGGTTTCATTGATGGTGATATTGCTTTGAATTGGCTCCACGTCTTGAGTCTCGCTTAGCATATGAATAAGTGCTGCCCGTCCTTCGAAGGTTTCGTCCAGGGAAATGGCATGCTCATCACCAACATTTTCCTTTAAACCCTTGGCAGGAGCCTTTCGCGTGAGCGAATAAGAGAAGCGAGCCTTTAGTGTGTGATCTAAAATAATTAAATATGGATATTCAAATTATTAAATTAAGGAAAGAAGCACAGATCTTACTGTTTCTCAAGTCATTTAGCAACCGCTGCCTATCCGGCGGTGCTATATTCCAAAGAGATGGCGAGTTCCCAGCCAATCTAACCGCAGCCACATCCGTTGCATCATAGCCAGCAATAAACGTTAGAGCCTGTTTCTCCTTAATGTACGCGTTAGTCATCTGAGAGTACATCTCGGGATTGATCTCAAAGATGCTATCGTAGTTATTCGTGGTGTAGATGGGATCGTAGGGTCCAATTCGTATCGACAGCGACACCTGATAGGGCACATTCGAGGTGCCCACGGCATTGCCCAGGGCAAACAGACACAGTGGTCCCCAAATGCAAATCACAATCAGCAGGACAACGGTGCCGCCCATGATAAGTTTGGAAAGTGAGGCTTTCTTCTGAGCTCTCATGGCGGGAAAATCGGTCTCCGACTGCCTGGTGCAGCGAATCAGATAGATATTCGAGAAAATGTCTTCCATTTTCAGCCAGTCAAAGATGGTCATTGTGCTGTCGATGCACACCCAATCCAGAATTGTTCGCAGCTCGTAGAGGAATGGAATCTGCATATACACCTTAAAGGCAATCATGTTGACCATCGAGAAGCCCTTGGTGAAGAAGTTGCCCAGAATTCGCTTGGGGTAACCGGATTTGATTTGATAAGAGCTTAGCAGCATGTAGAAGCACTTAATCACGTAGAAAATTATCGGCGGTGCCAGGGAATTGAAAGTACGCTCCGTAACAGCCGGTACCACAAAGAACATCCAGATGTGTATGCCAATCACTGAGAAGAAGTGGAAGATGATCTTGTTCACCAGAGCCTTGCGCAGGTACAAAGCTCGATCTATAACGATCAGCAGGAACTGAACCAGTAACATGATCAGGAAAGGTATGGGGACTTTGTTCTCCGCCAGATAAGTCTGGACACCCTCATCGCTTTCTGTTTGTTGGGTCTAAAAACAGGGAAAATAATAAAGTACATTTTTTAAAATCTATAAAATATAATTTTACTTACTCCAAATGCAGTGAAGCCAAACAGCAGAACAAAGAAGTTTACAAAATCACAGAGGAACATCAGGGCATAAACATCTGTGGCTAGGCGGGATTTGTGAACCAGGCTGAAAAAGAACTTGTACAGCGAAGAGGTGTACTTGGTTCGTCTGCAATAATAATGTTGATTGTTATTAGAGATTTATTTCTTGTCTAGTTGTAAACTTACTCTAGCTGATTGATGCCACTCTTGCTATACTCCGGCGATCCTGGCAAAGAAGCCTGACTCACTTGGAGACTCAACTTCTGAGCAGCATCTTCATTCATCTGGCGAGAGTCGGGTTGGGATAGATTGTCGCTATCATCGCGATCATCACTAAAAAGAAAACATTAAAATCAAAAAAAAATACTTATTACAAAAGAGCCTTTGTAACGTACATGCTAGCGGTGGGTTTGGTAAACTGGTTGTCCGTATCCTTGTAGCCCGATTTCCATAGGCCCTGCGATTTAAGCAGATAGCGATGCAGGAACAGTACCAGCAGCAGAATCAGATCATAAATTGCATAGTGCGCCTTATTCTCCACTCCAAAAATTTTGGCAGGTGCGAGCGGTTGATTGGGCAGTTGGTGGTAGTTAGACCAGATCAGTTTAAATTGGAAGATGCACTTGATCAGGACAATAGCCTGGGTGTAGGCAATCAGGGTGACCCAGAAGGTTTTAGTGGGACGTGGCAGCGACAAGGTGCCCCACAAAAAGACCATAATGGGCAGCGGCAGCGAGATGAGACTGGCATTAACCACCTGTAAAACGAAAATTAATTCAGATATAATTTTATAGAGAATAAAAAACCACTTGCCTGATTGATGAACACCACAATATAGCAGATTAGATCCGTATTGGCTAACAAAGCGTACCACGAGGAAATCAGCAACTCCACAATGATATGATGATCTCGCATGGCAAAGTTCTCCTCCTCCAGGTTGAATTCACCCGCGCTGGAATATCGTCAGAAATTTATTAGATCATGGATCACCACTATGCGGATTCGTGGAATCTATCAACTTGACATGCCGGGTGCTGTTCTTTTTAGGAATGTGTGCGCTGCATGCTCCACAGTCTACATGCGAGTGCATCGTGTGGAACTTGGGTGAAACACAAAACTAGGTTTTAACTAGGGTTAATCGAAGCCAGACAACGGTACATACTAGCAAAGAACGCATAGAGATAGGTTTAAATCATAGCAGCGAAAACAACTTAGTGGAGAGGCAGAGATACAAATACAGAAATAGATGCAGTTACAGTATTACCAAAAGATACAAAGGGGGAAGACAGAAAGTCGTGATGGTTGTTTTAGTAGAGTCATGAGGCTGGGCCATGATCATGAGGATGGGCATGAGCTTGAAAGATACATAGATATTGAGTAAGCTGGATCGATTTAAATTACAAAATTCTTGGATAATTTTAAATTGGAAACTAATAAAGAGTTATAATTAAATTAACTTAATATTTTGTAATGATTTGTAAGAATTTTCGTAACAAAATAATCTTTTAATTTAAATCGACCCACCAGTTTACAGAGAGTTATAGAGCTTTACGAACACAAACCGAAAGACACCAACACATTAATAGGCACATCAATAGGCTAAGGGAT